CCTTGATTCTGTTGCTCGCTCGGCTGCTAGATTCCCCCCTAAAACCCGTATCCAGAGAATCGCACATCGCTGCCGCACGACGGACAGCATGCGCTCCAGCCTCAGAAGGGAAGACCGGAGTTCGCTTCGGAAATGCTCGGGTTGACGGGTTGAACTAGGGCTCCCTTTTTTTGGTAAGTATTGGGTAACCTTATAAGGAACCTAGGACTACAAAAAGGCGATAAGGGTACTACTGGGCATCCTAGTGAAGCTTGCGGCTTGGCTTGAGTCTCCTGGGGTGCGCAGTTCTGTCGGGGTTACATCGGGCTGTGCAGGAGCACTGTTGATTTTTGCGTGTACCACATGAAAACACAATTACACTAAATACATACACATCTATGCCAACGTCTATCCATCTATCTATCTGTAGACACAACTGTGTACTTAGAATAGGGTTTTGGGGCCCATTAATTATACTATACATATACGTAGGAACCGCCAAAATAGTTGAGAAGCCATTGGTCAAACAAACGCAGGCCGGCCGTCAACGCCCAAACCTCTCTGAGTAAGGCAAGAGGGTGGGGGGGTCGTAGGGTTTTGTGGTTTTAGGATTTAGGGTTTAGATGCTAAGGTCTACCTATGGGAGTTCAGAGTTTAGGGCTTCGGGATTTAGTTCGTATTAGGTGAGGGACAAACTACAAGATAAGCGTAAAATCAGACACTGGGTGCCCAAAGAAAGCCAGAAGACTTCCGCATTGCACATGCCGCAGAGACAACGCTGCACTGGGTTGGCCTTTAAACGCAGTGAAAAATATTTATATATAGGGTCCCTTATAAAGCCAAATAAGGAAAACAACAAATGTCCCAAAATCCAACCTAGTGCATTCTGCCGCGTAGATCTTGCCATGCTCGTGACTCGCAAGAGCCACCGATACAGGCTAGCATTGCAACTACAAGCTGGCCTCGTTGCACTTTGCAATAACTTGCACATGCAATTGGCAATCACACTCAAGAAAAAGAAACATACATATGCCAACGTCATGTGGGCTAACTGGACTCAACCCAGAACAAAACTACAAATCAAACATGCGAACGAAACAAGAGCGTTGGGCAAAGATGTGGCTGATTCTTCACAACGGAATGTGTTGAGGCACCGGCGGCAGCAGAGCAACTTGACTGATGCTCTGGCTCATAAGAAGGCCGAAGACGCACATCACTACAACCTGACCGAGCAAAGGATCGGGCTTTCGTTTGATGGGATCTCCTGGGTTGGCCTTTTAAACGCCCTGAAAAATATTTATATATAGGGTCCCTTATAAACCCAAATATGGAAAATAAAAAATGCCCCAAAATCCAACCTAGTCTCAGGTTCGGAGATTAGGGCCTGGGTTTTGGGCCGAGGGTTTGGAAGTGGAGCTCATGGCCGAACAGCCGTAGTCTTGCGCCGAATATGATTATCATCCTAGCTTCCAGGAAATCTTCCTTCGGCTCTGAGTATATGCGATGGAGCCAATGGAGCGAGTATCAAATGGGGATACCGTCATTATACAACACTGTTAATGATATTTGCATCACATGCAGCAGCAAACAGAGGAGCGCCTAATCCGGTGTGATGCACATCTGGGTAGTTGTCAAAATTATGGCCCCTTTTTGGGTCCTTATTATACTACGGCACCTAATATTTAGGGTACCCAAAAAGGGACCCTAATTTGACAACCACCCATATGGTACCCTCAACCCCATAGATCCATTATAGGAACCCTTTAAAAGGAACCCTTATAGATCCCTTTAAAGGTACCCTAATTTTGACAACCACCCATCTGGTGCCGGAATCAGGCGCGGAGCAGTCAGCCAAGGGCCCGACAACGAAACATAGCAAGCCCATTCCCGCCGCACTCTCCTTCGTTGGCTCCCATGGTTTTCGAATATAGGGTTTGGGGTTTAGGGGTTTTGGGGTTTAGGGTTTAGGGTTTTGGGGTTTAGGGGTTAATAAACAAGGCACTCTTATGCGCACCATTTTACATATGGACTCCCTGTTCGCAGACCCCGCATGTGCGAGTCGCTTCATTTTTTGTTGCTGTAGAGCCCTAAGTGGCATGAGAACTCGTCGGATCCAGTTGTCTCGTGAGCGCGGCCTAAGGGTTTTGACCTTAAAACTTGGGGCTCAAATAACCGAAACACAGGAACAACAAAACCTTCAACACTCCACTATCCTCAAACTCGAAACCCTAAACAGCACCTAATGTTGAGACAAAATCGTCCGGGCGTGCTACCGCGCAACAAGCTCGAACGGAGGGTTGTTGTAGAACAAAGCACTTGAGGATATGCGGGTTCCGTGTCCCGTTTAGCCTCCCGATTATCGAGGAATGCACACGGAAGCTTAGGCTCAGGGAGCCTTGGCAACGAAACAAGCACTGTTTGGGGGAACAGCAGACACGCCTGAACCTGAAGACCCAAACCCACAACCCAAGACCACAAACATCCGTTCGTATAGACATGGCTCACATGTGTTGAAAAAGTGCTTCTCAACACGCCCCACAACATAACTCTGTGACACGGACCATAAACTACCCTAAACCCACCAAACTCGCAACCTCAAGATTCCTCACCCACAAAAGCCCGACCATGAAACCGAACTAAAACTCATAAGATGGCCTTAGTAACCCTCATATTCTCAGCCTATTTCGAACCAAGAAAAGGTCCTAAACCGTCAACCCAGAACCCGAAGCACACGAATGTGCGTTGGCGTCCTCCTGCTTGGGCGCCACAAGGTTGAATGAGACTTGGATCCGCTCCTGATGGCAGTTTGGGGGTGTTTACGCATTTGGGGGGTTGGGAGGTTTGGGGTTTTTTAGGGTTTTGGATTTTTAGGGCTTGGTGATTTTCAGATTCACTGGTTCGTGGGTTGCGGGTTTAAGGACTTTTGGGTATAGCACAGGGGCAATTAAGTTTAAGGCGCTTTTTCGTGCTGGGGTGGCTTTAAGGGCTTATCCCATGCTCGGGTTTAGGAGAGATGGAGTGCCACGGCCAGAAACACTTCGATATCGGAAGAGCTATGAAAATCGGTTTTGGCAGTGTATCGCGCTACCCTAAACCCTCAACCCTCAAGCCTAAACCCTACACTTTTAGCGAATCCTGAGGCACACCTTTGCTAAGTACTCCGGCCTCTATCACCACAGCCCAGACCTGCATCTGGGATGCAAGCAGCCGGAAAGGAAAAGCTGTAACGCTCGGTTTTTACTTAGTTGCTGAGTTCACAAAGCCCCCAAAAGTCTACACTTTCAGTTTTATAGTGGGTGATACTATCCCAAAAAGTGTAAAGTGTATCCACTCAGCTACTAAGTTAATGCACCACACCCCAAAGCTCCGAAGCATCGAACATCCGAAGAGAGCACCATGCAAGGACAAGCATGGGTGCAGTCTGACTAAAGCCAAAACCTATAGACCCTTAACCGGCTTGATCCTGAACACCCCAAACTCTTCACCCTAAACCCTACAGACCGCAACCCCCTTGATCCTAAACCCAGAGACCCTATAGGGTTTAGGGTTTAGGGTTTAGGGTTTAGGGTTTAGGGTTTAGGGTTTAGGGTTTAGGGTTTAGGGTTTAGGGTTTAGCCTACTGCACGCCTGAATCGCGACCGCCTACAAATGGGACCCGAAGATGCACCCCAACCCTGGACGCCAAGGCCTCGGACCTGGATTCTTTCCAAGGGTAGAATGAGGGACCCCTAATAAGGATCCCTAGGTATATACCCTTGATATAGCTATTATATACCCATTATATAGCCCCCATTATAGGGTAGGGGTCCCCACTAAGGGTCCCTCCTTTTCCCCTTTGATTCTTGTCAGGAGTTAAGTTGAGTACAGTTACCATCATAAGGGAAACCAATTCTTTACCATAGACTCCTATTATGGTACCTCAATTTGCATTCCGCAACCCTAAACCTTGGACCTTGGAACCCCAAACCCTATATTCAAGATCTTAAGCCCTAAAGCCTAAATATCAAAAGCCTGAACCCTAACCCGTAAATATCAGCCCCCTAAACCCCCTGAGCCCCCTAAACCCCTAACCCCAAAACCCTCAACCTTTCACCGGGTATGAGGGAGGACACGGGCCTGCAGAAAGCCCAAAACCCTCAACCCTGAACCCAAAGTCTCGCAGCGCCTGGGAGAACTGTCGGATGGAGGAGCGTCGGTCGGGCCTGAGTGCTTCGGGCTCTAGGGGGTGAGGGTATTTTTGTTTTTACCATGTTGACGGCCCTTTCTCCTGAACGCGCCGGCCCTATTCGGGCCCATAGCAGGGGGTTGGGGTTTAATTAGGGTTTAGAGTGCTGGAACTAAGAATTCGCCTCGGCCCCGGCCGAAGCGGTCAGAGGTTTCTATACGGATTCCCTCTATTCCCCACCTGTTAAGCCTGACCCCCCAACCCGAAAGGGGCGCTGACCCCAAGGTTAAGGGGCCTACAATATTGTTGTCGTACACGGCCTCTGACGAGATTCTAGTAGCCTCAGAGTCGGCTTTGAAGCTCTTGCACGTCTGACTGCACGTGGCGCATGCTGCTTTCTCCAAACATATTGTGCAATAATGTGGTGCTCGTGCTGTTACTCAACTCTTGGCTATTGCTCACTCGAAGGACCACTATCGACTACTGATCACTTTCGCTTAAGCCTGTGGTTACTCCGATGAGAGGAGGATAATGATATGTTCAACTGTATGTCTGCAAGTCTGCAAGCCCCCTAGACCTACAGACCCAGATACAAAACCTACTTGGAGGATCATGGGACTTAGTAAATAAGGTTATAAATACCTTAATTGGGGTTATAAGTATAGTTACCCTAATTATAACCGTAGTTACTAAGTCCCATGATCCTTCCCCCTAGACCCAGAGACCCAGATACAAAACCTACGCGAGAGAAAAATGACTCCGCAGGAGAGCCCCGAGGGTCCCAACCACTGTTTCTTCTTCTTCCGGATTAGCTGGAGTCGACGTTCGACGCACGACGGATTCAGCATGCAAAGAACTAGACATCAGGAAAGTCGCACTGGAGGGCATGCATGGTAGCAGAGTCAGCTATCATGGCTCGCCCCTCCCTCTGCATGTACGATATTCCTTCTGCCTCGAAAAAGGATGGGCTCTGCACATCCATACAAAATTGGGACCAAGCAAGAGCAAATCGTTGAACTTGGTTGCTCACGCATCCTTGCATGCGATGCCAGGAATTGCGGAGCTCCCCAAGATCTACGCAAGAAACAGCCTCGAGCCACCGCTGACAAAACATGGGAAGGCCAGCGAGCTCCGTGATGCTAAGGAAGGCAGAGAACCAGGCTGCGTGCGTGGAAGGTGGGGGAGGATTGACTGCGATGGCGTTGGCCGGGCGCAGTGTCGCCCAGAAAGGGCGCGGCCCGATGAAGGGCACGACAGGGTGCTGAGGAGTCCCTATCTGCTCATCTGGCAAAGCGTTCAGATCTGCATGCTCATACACGGTGCGGCATGTAGTGGCCGTTCTGAAGTGCTCGCGCAGGCGACTGGTCGCCCAAAATTCTTTGCCACAGCAAAGACAAGCCGTTCCCATGGCGACTCGTTGCGGGGCCGCGACTCCGTGGACTTTGCGGACATGCGCCGCGAGGGCAGCCTTGGACGCACACCGTGCTCCGCACCGGTGGCATTGTTGGGTGTCCTGTCCGATGTGGCAGCGAAAGTGTAGGAGGCCTGCCTGCTCGGCCTTGTGAAAGGCCCGGGCCTTCCTCACGCTGCCCGGTATCATCGATTCACGCTGCTTGATGCAAAGGCGACGGGCTCGGCGTAGTAGTGCCGTGGTCTCCACACAGCTCAACGGCCAAGCCTGCAGGAGCTCGGACTTGTCGTGAGATTGCACCCAAACTCGGAGGGATGAGCTGAGGTCAAGGCTGACGAGCCAGCTCACCGCCTGCCATGCCTGGTTCAGCCAAAGTCCGGAGGCATGAAGAAGGGCACGCATAAAAGGTGTGCCTTTTGCAGCAACCTGAGCGATAATGCGCACTCTGTGGCAGTGCAAAGCTTCGTCTGGGGTCATGGCATGCAAGACCGCACACGTCTGCTCGTGGGTGAGTCTCCAGCAAGGGAAGCTCAGCAGAGGCCGCACCGCAGGCCGCAGAAGCGACATGTAGGCCGCCTGGTATGCTGTTTGCTCCTTCTTCGTAGTCATCGCCCAGGTAGCTAAGCCGTGCATAAACTTCGAGAGGACCAATGAAAAGAGATAGGTACGCTTTTCTGCCATCTCAAGCGCTGGGTTTCGCAGGAGCCTGCGACAGACTTTAGTGCAGACATCTGCCGCTAGTGTGCGCCGTCGGCGGATGTCCGGCAGCGCGTTGCATTCAGGACTCCGCACTGAACCCAAGTGGGTGTAGCGCGGAGTGCAGACAAGCTCAACTTGCTCTCCGGGCTGCAGAGATACCGAGATCCGCCCGCGCTTGGCCACGAAGAGCTCCTGCCTCGCCTGTTGCGAGCCCTGTCCACACATGCACACAACGGCTTCCGATTTGCCTGGCTCGAAGTTCATGGCAACACCGGTGGTAGCCAGGGCCTGTGAAGTGAGTGCGGCCACTCGCGCAAGACGGGCGGGAAGAGCGTGCGCAGTCGGCGAAAGCATGGGGACGGCAAAATCGTCGAGCCATGTGAGGGCATGCGAGGCAACTCCTTCAAGGGAGACCGCGAGCCCTTCTTGCTGTAAACACTGCTGCAAGGTCTGGTAAGCCGGAGCTGCCGCGAATTGGAACAGCAGGTCGGCCAGGGGTGCTCCTGGAACTGTGCCGGCTTGAGTCTGAAAGACAAAGCCGTCGGCCGGCTGCACTGTGAACCACGTCGGGCAGAACCCTGACCGAACAAGCCTTTGTATCATTTCATCGACCTGGGCTCGCTCAAGGCTGGACTGTCCGCCGACAATGCTGAGGTAGGCTTCTTTGATGGCCTGGTCAACCGGGAGGGACGTGATCCAGTCACGGCGCTCTTGGTCAGAGCCCATGCCAAGAACCTGTCGATTCGTGGCATAAAAGGCACTCACCCCGTCGACATAGAGAAGCGCACCTGAGTGTTGCCGAGCGTGCAGAAAGTCAAGGAAGGCTTGACCAGTTAGCGCGGGCAGCTCCAACGGAAAACCTCGACGTGCGCCTGCGGTGCCGGGCTGGACGATGGTCTCAAAACTTTCTAACAGAGGTCGTCTGATAGCTTTACCGAAGGCCTTGGCCGATGATTCGAGCAAGGCTATGGCTCGGTAGCCCTGCACTGTCAGACTGTCTTTGAGTGGCTTCGGGATCGGAACATATTTCGAGCCTGTCCACAGAAGAGGAGCACGGTTTCTCGAGGCCATCTTGAGGATCAAGGGATAGTGTGCACAAGCAGCCAAAGCGGGTGCTGCACGGTAGAAGTCCCCGCTAAGTCCACTAAGCCCTGGTGCCTTGCGAGTGCGCAGGCAAGCAAAGCCATGCGCCAGGTCCGCAATGGATGGCAGCCCGGTGGCCTCAAGAGTCTGCGGGGTTGGCAGAGACGCCCCTTCCTGCGCAAGCGTCGAGAAGCGAACCGTGGAAGCTTTCTCTGCGCGTGCGAAGTGTTGGCCGAACGCTTGGGTGACTTCGTCCTGGTCGGTGGTGATCGTGTCCCCGATTCGCAGCGCAACACTGAGCCGACAAGGTCGGTACCGCCTGCCGCTTTTAAGCACTGCTCGGATGAGGTGTGCTTTGCGGGATGGACCCTCAGCGGCCGCATCCTGAAAGGTACGGCGCGTGAAAGCCGCCTCGTCTGCGTTGGCGGACCTCCTGATCTGTTTTGCCAGGCGCCGGAGGCGCACGTGGTGCATGCAGCCTTGAATGACCTCCTTGGCGATGTCCCGCCACACACCTGTGGCGTTGAGGGCGCAGGCCGCGGTAGAACGGCCTCCCGCCCAGGTTTGCAAGCAGAAGTGCAGGAGTCTTCGCAAGCGTTGTTGCCGGGAGCCATGCCGTTGTCGGCGGAGGAAGCGCTTTTGCAGGAGCAATGCCCAGGTGTCGGCAGAGATGACGGGATTGCGGGGCCGCGCCTTCGGGCGAGTGAAGGCATGCTGCAGCTGCTGCTGGAAGTGGGAGTTGAGAGCAAAGAGATGCTCATCAACATCGACTTCCCACGCAGGCCGAGGGGCACTGCGAAAGATGGACTCTATAACCCGTTTACCCTCTGGCGTATGCATCTTCTCAATGTCAAGACGGTGCGCCCCTGAGGTGGAAGATGAAGGCAGTTGACCGGCTACAGTGATCACCAGGGGTTCGTGGTCAATACCCGCAAACTGATCCAGAATCGGGACCACCCCGATATTGCTAGCCTGGGGCATCCATTCCCGCGGGAGCAGAACAAAGTCTAAGCAGAGTTCATGACCCTGGGGAGATCGCCAGGTGACGATAGGCCGACCATGCATGTCTGTGGTGCCCGAGGACGCTAGTCCACGGCGCTGCAGGAGGGCATCCATGTGGCACGCATTGGCATTGGTAGGTGTGGAGCCATGCCAGTGGGCATTGGCATCAATGCCGATCAAAGGGATGTGTCCTCGAGGAGCGGTAGCCAATGCCCGTTCGAGCAAGTCCCACCAGTCATTGATTTCAGAGTCAGATGCGGTGGAGGTTCGGGCATGACCCGAAATGAGGATCACCGGCTGGCCCAGGAGCTTGGCCTTGACAAGTAGGAGCCGTGGATGGCTGAACACAACGGCAAACGATGTCGTGTCCCAGGCTGCGGGCTGGAACTTGGTGTCGACCCATATCTGGCAGCCCAACTGACCTTTGTCGGCGTGGCTAGAAAACCGCCAGACGTGGTCAACGGTCCTGCAAGGCTCTGCCCCTTCGCGGGTTTCCTGTAAGAACAGGACATCCAGGCGGTGTGTCCGCAGGTAGGCCTGTAAGCTGTGTCGCTGCAGGCTGGTGCGCGCCGACAGAGTGTTGCAGGTGCACAGCTTAATCTTGAGATCACGTGCTGGACCTTGGAGATCGACCGTGGGTGGGGTCCAGTCACTGGGGGCCCGGAAGCCCTCTGTTGCACACGGAAGGCTGGCGGGGCAAATGATGCCATGCTCATCAAGTCTTGGCCAGCCGCAACCCATGGGAGCTTGGACAAGCCAGAGCCACTGGAGGGCCGGGTCGGCGACAAGGTGGCGGAGATGCATGTTGAGCTCGGTGGAATTGAGGTCAGAGCGAGCCGCACAAGTTGCCAGAGAGTCAGCCAATTCATTGCCTGGATGGCCAGTATGGCTGTGCACGTGTTGCAGCACAGGCTCCCGGCCTTGCACAATTGTACAGAGTCTGGCAGCCAGCGCTGCACGGGGCAGAGCTCCAAAGCTGGCGCTGGCCGCAGTGCCTTGAGTGACCTCAGCGGCCGCCTGAGCATCGAATATAATTGCAGCTTCGGACCACGGGTTGGCCAGGCAGATGAGGTGTGCGACAAGCTGTGCAAAAAGCTCCGCATCGTAGGCACTGTGCACAAGTTGCCGCAGATCGGCACCTAGAGCCCCTGCTAAGAAACCACCCCAGTGCCAGTCCTGTTGAGACCGCACAAGCACAGCTACTGCCCATGCTCCTGTTCCTGCGACTGGATCAAACGAGCCATCGGTGAAAAGCATCGCAGCATCCCCGGTGACGTGATCTTGCAGGGGTCGTAGGCCCGAAAGCAACCGCTGGGCAGCTGGGTGCATGGCGGACTCATCAACAACTTTGTGCAGGTTGGGGACAGTGAAGGGCTGATAAGCGAAGTCCTTAACCTCTGTTGAGACAGCAAGACTGAGGCGGTGCTCTTGTGAAAAGTCCGGCTCAGCCAGAGCTGGAGCAAGCAGAACAGTCTGCCGTTTCGGAGGGCCGTCGGGCTCTGGCTCATGGGAGCAAGATGGCAGACGGCGGCGGCCGAACGGGGTGGGGATACCCATGCTCGTGGGTTGCGTGCCTGCCATAGGTGCCCGTGAGGGACTGGTAGCGGAGCCGAGGGCAGCATTCCCTTGGTTGGTGGATGGTGGTCGTGCGCCTTCCTGCACGGTGCCTGCAGGTGTGAGGAGCCTGGCAGGAGCATGCTGCTCGCAGGAGGCCAAGGCAATTGGCTCAGGCATTTCCACGACGTTCGGCTCAAGAAAGTGTGTGCAGGTGGCTGGAGCCTCTGAAGTGTCATCACGGCAATCAAGAAACTGCTTGACACGGAGCGGCAATCCGCCCACACAGGGTTCAGGCTCGAGAAGACCCCATTTGTTGGCGGCCTCGTAGCACCGTTGTTTGACCTCTGTCGAAGCTGCAGCAAATTTGGAAGATGCACTAAGGAAGTGCCGGTCCTGGGCGCTGCTGGGTCCGCGTCCTCTGAACCTGAAGCCTCTGACCTGATGACAACAGGGACCGGTGGTGGCGGTCCTCTTAGGGGCTCTGCAGAGGTGGACGCGTCTTGCGGAGGCGCCTCGTCCGAGTCAATGTCCGGGAGCATTTGTGGATCCAGGACTGACACAAGCACATCTCCATGCGAAAGGCCTGACTGAGGAAAGAGGCTAGTGCGCGCTGCAGCAGGAATTCCCGAAATGACATTGACAGATGGATGTACCATCAAGACAATGAAATGTCCAGGGTGCCCCGGTGCAGGGGACAGCACAGTGCTGGCCAGTCGATGCCTATACGCGCTGACAAAGGTGGCACCGTGATATCCAGCGTGTGGCGTCCTGCGGAACCTGAGGTTCCTTGGGAAATCACTTAAGCCTAACACTGCATCCTCGACCTGCTGAGAAGTGGGAGTCACATGGGTGGCAAGGTTAAGGAAGACTTCTCCATGGTGGGGTCCGTACAGCCGGGCTAGGCCCTCTGGCATCCTGTGACTGCCGAGCTGTATACGCCTGGTGCGAGAAGCAGCGTACAGCTGCCATCTATCAAGGCCAACTGACATTTCCCATGCGTACGGCCTGAGCTCCGGCCAGCTTGCCAGAACGCTAGCCAGTGGGACGACGCCAGGGCAAGCCTGGCTTGTGCACGGCTGCAGGTAGTCACCAGCTTGCACCTGACGGAGTGCTGCTGCCTCGGGTGCCCCATTGACGAAGAGTCGCCAGCCTAGGTTTCGCCACTGCTCCGGCAGAATGTCGTGGGTGGACTGCTGTGGGCTAAGTTCGCTCGTTTGCAGCCGTTGCCCCAAATGCCTTGAATCCCATACACAGACTACGCGGCTGTCCTCCCTCAACACGAAGATGACCTCTTGGAAGAAGCCGGCTCTTAGAGGCAGTGCCCTGGCCAGGACAATGGTGAAAGTGTCAGGCAGGGCCAGGTGTGCATGGTGCTGCTCAAGCAGCTGCTGCAAGATCGAATCGATCTGCTGGCATCCGGCTGGTACCTCGGCTGAGAATTGAGTGGTTCCTCGAATGATGATGAGCCTGAGGGTGGCTTGCAGAGGAGGAGACACATAGACTCGCGGTCGCCCAGTGGTGTCTCCTATGTCAATGACCCCTGTGTCTCCGACAGGACGCGGGAGATGTAGTCCTAGAGGGAACTGCTGAGGGCCAGGCTGGACTCGGACATGCTGCATGACCTCGAGGTCTTGTGGGAAGATCGGAGGCAGTGCTCCGGCCGCGTCCGTGGTTTGGAGCAGGCCACGTTCGTGCTCATCAACCAGGTTCCGTGGGGCACGGATTCGGCGATTGAGTGCTCCAATGGCATCTGTACGCGATTGCCCCACATGATGCCTCAGCGTGTAAACCCCTTCACCAATAGCTCGGCAATCCCATGGTATTGGCCTGTCGGTGGGCGGCTGGGCGGTTGCTTGCAAAACAAGTTGCGGGCAGGGCAGTCCCGGAACCGTGACCATCAGGACTTGAACCGCGCCAACAGTGAAGGGACATGCGCTCATGGCCAGCGCTACGACCTCATGGAGGCTTGAGTGAGCGGGCGCTCGCTCGATCGTGTAGTCGCGCACTGTATCGAAGACAGTGTATGTACCTGGGGCTTGGTTTTCACTGCCTGTCCAGGTGAATGCGCCAATCGGTCCCTGATAGACAGGTGCGGCCCTCACCTCCGCTGGTAGGACTTTCACGTGTGTGGCTCGTAGCAATGCGATGTTGCCTGGATGCCTCACTGCAGGTGCTCGGCTGCTCGGCGGCGGAGTGCGACGCTCTCTGTCCTCGCTGTCTGGCGGCCTTATGATGTCCGCATGAGGAAGGTCATGTCGGCGGACCGTCACAAAAGGCTTAGCGGAGAGCCAGGCCGGTTCCTCGGACCTCAAGGGATGGACACAAACTTCGTGGCCGGAGGCCGTGTCGGACATAGTGGAACAAACCTCCGTGAAGTCGGAGGTGGGGCATAAAGCGCCGGCGGCCGGAAGTGGACTGGTTGCAGTGCTGGGAACAGCCCGCACATGCTGCGACAGAGGGCAACTCGGAGGCTGGATGGGGGAGAATCCCCGGCACCAGTGGTTGCAGTGGGTTCGCCATGAAGGGGCAAAGCAAACCCTCAGAGGAAGGCTGTGCGGCAGAGAGTGGAAGGAGCTCCGGCTCGGCTGTAAAAACGCCCTACCTGGATCCTGTACACCGAAGCTGTACAAAGCCGCATCAGAGGAGCGGGGCAGTGAGCCCTCGAAAGAGCCCTGCTTAACCGAAGGCGACAATACGTCAGTCTCTACTTCTCGCCCACCCATGCGCAGAGAAGGAAACCGGAAATTGTCGCCCTCCGTCTTGCTGGGGCTATCCGAAGGACACACTTCGCCCCATGCCAAGTCATTGCGTGACCAGTAACACTGAGGTGTGGTCGGCAGCGCGGCCTCAAGTCGCGGATCGGTCAAGATCTCGAACATCTCGTGGCCAGTATGTACGGCGAACTCTTGTTGAAGAGCAAGCAGCTGAGCCAGGGGTATTGAGACAAAATCTGGCTGCTGCACAATCGAAAGACCCCATGGTCTTGCCTGAAGATCAGGCCCCTGTGCACTCATCAAGCTATCACAGGGGCCTAGATAGGGGGCGGCTTCGCCTCCGTCTTGACTGGCTGCTTGCCAGCTCCAGCAGACTGTGAGTCCGTAGATCCATCTCCCGCTCCACTCTTGCCACCACGACTGTCCTCGGGTTCGGGGCTGGAGTCGATCTGCTGGCCGCCCTTTTTCCTTCTGGGCGTCCTGGAGCCACCACGATCCGCTCTGCGGGCGGCCTGTGCCTTGGCATTGGACAGGGTAGACAGCAGTGCTTGAAATCTTTCTGCTGCCGCCTCCTGGGAGTGTCTGGCAGCATTCTCTTGCTCGATGGCTTCGTCCACCTCTGGGCATCCTCCTGGTCGAGGTCCATCGCAGACGTGGGCTGCGAGTGCGTGGCACCTGTGGAGGCCGCGAGCTGCGAAGTAGCCTCGTGCAGCTGAGCGGCCCAGGCCTCCTCCGTCTCGGTGAAGGCGTCCATGGCCTTTTGCTTCTCTTCCATCTGCTGTTGGAGAAGCTGTACCACTCGGTCCAGGTAGTCGTTCCAGCCACGCTCGAAGTTTGCCCGCTCCGTGGAGGCTTTGGCTAGTTCGCGTCGAGCTTGAGTTTGGCGAGCAACTAATTGATGTAGTTGTTTGCCCTGTAACTTGTGACTGTCTGACCGATATTGTTGCACCAGGCTCTCGACTTCCGGTGAGAGCTCCGTACTGGAAGCAGTCAGCTGAGCCACTAGAGACTCTAAGACTCGCCGCTCCTCGGAGATAGGCGCTGTCGTCGTCTCGGCTGGTGTCCGAGGAGGCGCTGGTACTGCTGGTCGTGGTGCTGTCGGAAGCTGGTTGAGGTCCGGCACTCCATGCTGGGGCCGACTGTCCTGACCTCCCTTTGCACCATGACCCCCTTTGCCTTTGCCAGTGGGTTGCTGTGTGTTCCCAGTTGGCTTGCCACCCCTGTGCCGGCTCCTCGGAGACTTGGGCCGTCGCGGTGATTTGGGCACTGCATCGCCCGTGTAGGTGGTCTTCGGCTGCTGCCTCTCCCATGCCTCCTGCCAGTGTCTGCCGCAGGAAGAGCAGAAATTGGCTGTCGCCCTGTTGTGTAGGCGACAGTAGCCACATCTCCAGCCGGCATTGTTCATCTCGGAGGAGTGATGGGCTCGAAGGAGGGCTTGAGCTTGGATGACCGTCTCCTCGGTAGGCGGCCTCCAGTCCGCACTCGCTGTACGTAGCACTGTGCGGGCTCTGGTGCGCTTGCGCCGGAGCCTCCGGTGCCAAGCTGGCTCGTCCTCCCTCCTGGAGGATATGTTGGAATAGGCCGTCTGGGTAGACAAAGCTGAGCACCCTAAAAGCGCAGTAGGGTGTCGAAGGGGGTGCGACTGCACTCGCCCCTGCAGCGGGCTGCGGTTGCGCCACGCGTGAGTCTTAGCGAAAGGGCGTCGAGTAGGACTCCGAAGAGAAACTGCTACTCAAACCCTTAAGCCAAACGCCTCCCAACCACTGTTTAGGGTTTAGGGGTTTAGGGGTTTAGGGGTTTAGGGGTTTAGGGTTTAGAGTAGATTCCAGCTTACGACTCAGGGAAAGCTCTGGATCGAAGATACGGCGTAATATCAGGGGGTGATACCCTGCAAGTAACGGGCACAAGGTAGGGTTGGGGGCTAGAGCCACAGGAGCCTAGACACTGAAACTTATGAACCACCATCAACCGTACGTCAATGGCCATTGGCTGATTGAGAACAGGGTCCCAAGGTCCTCCGTCCATGATAAAAACCTAGGCTTAACCTTGACTTTTGCGTGACCTAAGAGTAACCTAGGAGTAAAGAGGGTGACATACCCGGCTAATGGTTTTAAGAGTTTAAGGCTTAGGGTTCTTGTTCAACCCGGCTAAATAACAACGCGTCTAATGCGTCATTGCAAACCCGCCGGAAGCCCTTTCTAACTCCACCAGAGATGCTGGGGAACAGATCCTGAAACCTTTTCCAGTCTATTTAACCCAAAACCCTAGACCCTACCCAGAGGCTCCATAGTAGTTCCTTTTTGGGATTACCTTATAGGATTCTAAATAGGAACCCCAAAAAGGGACTACTATGGGGCCTTAGGGTAAACCCCAAGCCCTCGTCAGGCCCGTGCATCGAAAACTTGCTGGTGAGGTTCAGCCTCCTCAGATGGGAGTTTCCGAAGTTGGGGGTACCTTACTTTGGGGTCCTTATAACAAGGATCCTACTATTTAGGGTACTATATTAGGGTAACCCTATTTTCGGAAACTGCTCAGATGGCATTCGGATTGACGCTTCTCGGCTCAAGGGTTTAGGGTTACGGTTTAGGCTTTAGGGTTAGGGGTTAGGGTTTAGGGTGCTGTACGGGTTTTGGAATGCCAAGTGCTCCACAAGGGCTCTATGTGGGTGTTATGTAGGGTTTAAGGATCCTGGATTAGGACTCCAGCTTCAGGTTGCAAGGCTTCAAGGATTAGGGCTCAAGTATTTTAGGGCTCAGGGAATCGAAGTTTCCTTGAGGCAAAAGCCTTGCAAGCTTGAGGCTACAGCCAGAGATCTGAGGACAAACACGCGAAGAATCTTGAAGCCTACACCAAGCCGAACCCTCCGGAACCCTTGAGTTTAGGCTTTACGGTTTAAGGATTTAGGGTTTAAGGGTTTAGGGTTTAAGGTTTAAGGGTTTAGCCCTTCAATGTCCCGAGCGTCCGTATTTAGCGTTCATGGTTTGGCGCTTCGGATTCAGGGCCTGGGTGCAGGGTTCTGAGTACTGGGTTCAGGTCTTCATGCGTAGAGGGCGTAAGGTTCTTTTTTTTTGAGGGCCCTTCTCCTCCCTGCTACAGTCGGAATACCTAGTAGGGCGTAAGGGCTTAGGTTGTAGGGTTCGGGGTGCAGGGCTGCAGATGTTTCAGGGCGGTCACACTCCACTACACTAACGGTGCTGCCAGCGTAGGGAGCAATCCATGTAGTTACTGTCAAGGGCTGTAAGTATAAGGTTCGACGTATGCGCCCCAAATCCACGTTAATATGGACCGCTAGGACTTTTATGTGAATTCTAGGGCGTGTATGTATATATATATATATATGTAGATAGATAGGTAGATAGAGCATATAATATACTAGATATATAAGGCTAAACCCTGAATCCCTACACCCTAAACTCCTAGACCCTAAACCCTAAATCGTTTGGTCTCCTTTTCCAGGGTTTTGAGGGCTTAGGATTTAGGGCGGTCTCGTTCTCGGGCAAGCTGCACTCTACAGCCTCCTGCAATCACGGCTACCAATAGGGACCAACCAACCCTAAAACTTTTCTACTTCTACTTTAGGAAGCCCTTCGTTTGAAAACCCTGCAATGTCGGGAAGACCTGTTTGCGCTGCCTTTCCCACTGTTCTCTGCTCGGGGCCTTAGGGAATACTCATGCTTCAACTTTCCAGCTTACACCGTGGACCCTGCCTTCACCCAAACCTGAACCCTGATGCTACACTAGGTTGGCCCTTGAAAGCCTCTGAAAATATTCGTAAATAGTATCCTGCTAAGCCCAATAACGGAAAATGTAAAATGTCCCAAAGAACTTCCTAGTAAATGTATTGCAGCAAAGATGCAGCACATCGTACGCGCAAGAGAAGGTTCCGCTTGAACCTCAGTTGAGGTCTCTTGATTTCGGGATGTCGACGTTCGGGGTCGAGATGATATAGGTTTTGGGGCGGGGCCCATTATACTATAAATATAACAAGGAACCCCTTCAAGTAGTATAGGTAAGCATTAAGGCCCCTATATTCTGCTAATTTGCTACTACAACAAGCTCTAACCCTTCGACGCGCAATCCCTGATGAACCACGAGCCCCGAAGCAACCAACACTTCAAGAAGTTCAACCCCAAGCCCCGACTTGACCAGGAACCCTTGACACGGTTTGGGGTTTAGGTTTCCCTAAACCTTAAACCCCGGGTTAGGGTTTGAAAGACACGAAGAGACTGCTAGTTCTCTACCAAAAGTCGCGAAGACCGCATTCCCCTGCGCATCAGCACGTGCTGTGGACCACCGGAAACGGAACCCTACTTGGAGTTTCATGGGTAGTTATAATTGGGGTTAGAATTAGGGTAACTTTGGTGAGAACCCCGATTAGGGGACGTATACCCCCATGAACCTCCAAGTAGGCACCAGACCCTATACCCTTATAGAGTTCCTATAGATCCCTTTAAAGGGACCCTCAAAGGAACCTTCACAACTGCCCATGAACCTCCAAAGTAGAAGCAACCTGAGGCCCAAAATCTTCAAATCCCGTAGAACGTTGGGTCCCCCAGCTGAGATCTCCGTAGCAGACGTGGAAAGGGCCTTGATATTGGTGCTGTATAGTAGCAGCCAGAAAGTTGGAACATCAGTATCCTCATGCCCTTTGGGTGAAGTAGAGGGAAGTCAGGGAGTCCTAGCACTAATCATCCTAAATCCATGCTCCAACTTTCTGGCGTCTACTATAAGAGTCAGCCGTTTGGGGGGGCTTTACAGGGTGGAATGTAGGGGCCTTGGATTCTGCAACAGCTGCCTGCTGACATGAGGTTTCATAGATTTCTGTTAGGAGTGCTCAGAATTGGAGGGCACAGGTTCTGGTGCAGTTCTTCTGTTGATGATAAAACTCCTGCATTCCCTGAAGGACCCCGAACTATGGGAATTATGGTATATTCCTTATTATGGGTATCAACCGTTGTAAGGTGGTTTTCTAGGGCTCTAGAGTTACATAGAGCTGATGCGCGGATTCTATGGGTGCTACGAGGTCCAGATCCTGTCATTTCTAAGTTAGACTTCATTGGCATGTATAGAACCCAGAGACTCCAATATCCCTTAATTCGGGATTATACCTTAGATTATATTTGGAATCCTACTATGATTTAAGGAATACTCCTTAATTAAGGAATATGGGAGTCTCTGGGAAGCCTGAGAAGCTTCGCAGGCTTTCATCCCGGTGCTTTCTTCTGGCTCTTGGCTGTTTGGAGTGAGGAAGCTCAGCGGGCTTTCGGTTAGCAACCCGAATTTGAGAAAGGTCATGGGATCGGGGCTGCGCACTTTTCGGGCTTAAGGCTGAGGGCTGTCTGGACTTATTTTCAGTCGGGATTTGGGGGGGGATACACATTTCACTGCTTGCCAGTTTGGCGATTCGTGGTGTGTTGGGATGATTGGAGATGTCCAAGGACGAGCTTAGGCTTCCTGTTTAAGGGTGTGCGGCGGCTGAAGGCTTAGAGTTTGGGGCTTAGGGCTTACTCATATGTAGGCCCGTTAAGAATCGGATCGTCCAAGACAGGACCTGAGCTTTCAGACCCTTGGTTCTTGTTTGAGGTGCCTACAGGGGACTAGAAGTTTTGGGGTGTTGCAAGTTGGAGATGTTCATCTCGGTTTTGGTGACCGTACCTTACTAACTGTCAAGGCTCATGCGGGTGTTAAGGTTCAGGCTCCCTTGTTTCAGCACCAACTTCGAAAGTTGGTAGCCTTCACCTCTGGAGATTCTGGGCCGTGAAGGAAGAGGAACAGCGGCAGCAGCGGCATGGCAAGAACCACAACTCAGGCGAATAGCATCACGAGCATACTCAGGTACCTTCCGCTCATTTAACCCTTATAAACCCTATACCCAAACCCAGAACCCCAAACCCTAAACCCCAAAACCCCTAAACCCCCAAACCCCCAACCCTAAACCCCCCAACCCTAAACCCCTAAACCCCTAAACCCCCAACCCTAAACCCCAAAAGATAAAACCCCTCAAGCCCTAAACCCCTAAACCCCAAAACCCCTAAACCCCCAACCCTAAACCCCAAAAGATAAAACCCCTCAACCCTAAACCCCCAAACCCCCAACCCTAAACCCCTCAACCCTAAACCCCGGAGCCCTAAGCACCAGGAAAGCGACCGTACTTGAACGTGTCGTAGGAGTCCCCGAGCCGCACCACCTGAGAGGTCAGGGCTTGGGGGCTTTAGGGTTTCGGGTTTAGGGCTCTTTTTTTTTTTAAAGTGTGTTGGGGCCTTTTTCTGCAGAAGGTCCGGCCGAGTTTCGGGTTTAGGGCTCCGGGCTTAAGGTTTAGGGTTCAGGGTTTAGGGCTTAAGGCTTAGAGTTTCGGGTTTAGGAGTTTCGGGGTCCAGGGTTTAGGGTTTTTAGCTTCTTAAGCTAGACAAAAGAGTAACCCAAGAATAAAAAGGGTGCCCTTTTTGGCTTGAAAAGGGGTGAAAAGGGAACCCGAACCTTAAACAGGGAATGAATAAGGGCCCACTGTGGGTCCTACGTAGTAAGAGTGGTTGTTTTTTTGGGGGCTCGGGTTTTACGGCTGAGCTTCCGAGTTCAGGGTTTGGGGTTTCGGGTTCAGGGTCTAGGCTTTGGGGCACAGGGTTTAGGGTTGAGGGCTTACTTAGGGTTCGGGGTTTAGGGGCATGGCAGAGGATCAGAAAGCTAGTGTCTAGCTTCGTCGGAATCCCTTGAGACAGAAGCCCCTAACCCTATGAGGCTCCAAGCCGTTTCACCATGAGCCCCGCACTCGAGACCCCCCCCAAGAACATCCTGTGCAAAAACACCCAGCCACGCAGCCCTCAGACTGGACCAGTGCACGGCCAAAACCAAGGCCTCTTGGGAGTTTCCGAAAATAGGGGGCCCGAAAAGAGTACCCTAAATATATAATGAGATCCTTGTTATCAGGGGCCCCTTTATAAGGTGGCCCTATTTTTTTCGGAAACTCCCACGCCCTAAACCCTATAGACCCCTTATAGGAACCCTTAAAGGAACCCTTATGGATCCCCTTAAAGGAGCTCCTATTTTCCGGAAACTCCCATTTGGAGTTTGGAGACCGCCCATGGCCAACAAAATCCTCAGACTGAACTGACTGAATCCCCAAACCCCAACAGGCCGAAAACCCTCAGCCAATTGAACCTTAATAATAAGAGCTATATAAATAATTGTAATAATAGTAAGCATAGTAATAATAACAGTAGTAATAACAGTAGTAGTAATAGTAATAAACACAGCAACCATAGCAATCATTGTAAGTATAACTACGACGGCGACGACCACCACCACCACCACCACCACCACCACCACCACCACCACCACCACCACCACCACCACCACCGCTGTCACCGCTACCACTCCTACTCCCAGTCCTACTCCCACTCCTGCTGCTGCTAGTATTCATGATACCACTGCCAACCAAGCGAATAATATCAACAACAATTCACAGTAGTACGTAATGATATGCATTCGTACGGATAGAGATCATCTGTAGTAACAGTATTCATCATCATCATCATAGCATTCATAATCACAATCATAATCAACACCCTAGACAGCACAGCCAGGACGGTGACTTCCGCTTGAAGCGCCGCGGAGGTCAACTGGCAGAGCTGTCTTAACGTCTCTTTCTGCTTACTATAGGGCCTTGAGGACCAAAATAAGGTTTTTTTGCAAGGTACTATTCTGGCTGTAATGGTCAAAACAAGCTTCTTCCAGGGTTTTGCAGGGTTTAGTCTCTTTCTACTTTTGACAGGGAGGGGTCTGAGGTTTGGGGGTTTAGCTTGAGCAGAGTTTGGGGTTTCCGGGTGGCTTGTGTCAGGTTTGGCGTCTACCTTAAACTACCAAACCCTACTTGTTGGTAGGTTATTATTACAAACCCTAATATGGAAAATATAGGGACCCTACAAAAAAGTAGGTTTTAAGAGGTTAAGGTAGGGCTGAACAGAGGAGCCTCAGTGATTAGAATAGGGTTTGGGGGACAATTATAGTGCAACCACAGAAGGACATGTTGGACTGTCAGTGGATCTCACGCTTTGGGTCTAGAGCCTCACGAAGAAGAAGCCCTCCACACACCTAAATCCATAGCACGTCGTCTTTCACGAGTACCCCTTCTGACGATCTCCATTCCCCACAAAGGCAGCTGCCGTGAACACTTTGACGACTCGGTTCTCATCCCGATCTCGTCATTTCAAACTACTTGGAGGTTCCTGGGTAGTTATACATGGGGTTATAAGTCCCCTAATAGCGGTTATAACCATAGTTACCCTAATTTTAACTCCACTTAGAACTACCCATGAACCTCCAAGTAGGGCTCACTGTTCAAGGTCCAGGGTGTAGGGTTTCGAACTCTTTTTTTGAAGGCGCTGGTCCCTTTCTCTGCAGAAGGGTTGCGAGTTCACGGCTTGGGGATACCGGGCTCAGGGTTTAGGGTGAGATTTTGCTTGAAATATACACTGAAATCACTTCGCAAGCAGCTTCGGAAATGAAAAGCAAACTTCCGCCACCTAATCGACTCCCCTAAACCCTAAACCCCAACTCGCCACAACCCCTAATTAAACCCCTAAATACACCTAAAGCCCTATGTAAACCCTGGACCCCGAAGAGTCTAAGAGAATCAGGAAGGATTCGCCTGCATCTCCGTCACGTTGTTTGCCAGATAGGCCTGACAGCGCAGGAGCTCCGAAACATATTGCTAAACTTAGGTACTGAGTTTCCGAAAATAGGGGGTCCCTTATTCCTTATTGTTCCTTTAAAGGGCTACTCTAAGGGTACCATAAGGGTTCCTTCAAGATAGGGGACCCGAACATAGTACCCTTACCCCAAAAAACCGTCATACTTAAGCACCCTTCTGCCACGAACCTGGTCCAAGCCCCAGAGAACCCGCAGGATAGGAAGAGATCCTTAGGGTCGGAACCTGTTTGTGACCTTGGGCCTGTACTGGGGTTCCTTATATGAATCCTACTGTTTGGGGGTTTTAGGCCCAGGGTGTCTTAGTCAGGTTCCTCTATGAACTTACCCTGAACCCTAAACCCTATAGTGCCCTAGACCCTAAACCCTATAGTACCCTAAACCCTAAACCCTACAGTATAGTATCCTAAACTACCCTAAACCCTAAACCCCTAAACCCAAAAGTACCCTAAACCATAAACCCCTAAATCCTAAACCCTAAACCCCATAGTACCCTAAACTACCCTAAACCCCTAAAACCACAAAAACACTCCAAAAGGATGAAGCTGACCTGTCGGTACTGATTGGCATCGCGGTTCAGGAGCTCGGCCCAGGTGCCTCTAGGTTGGGGGCGGTCCGTCAAGGGTTCTATCCCAGAGACTCCAATATCCTTTAGTTAAGGAATATACCTCATATTATAGTAAGATCCCTAATATGATTCAAGGTATATTCCTTAATTAAGGGATATTGGAGTCTATGGGATCACGATTCCTTGAAGGCGTCCTTTTTGCCAATTCCTACTTAGAGTTGCTGAGTTCGTTTGCCCCAACAAGTGGACACTTTTGGCTTTATAGTGGGTAATATTCTCCCCACAAGTGTAAAGTGTATCCACTCGCTACTAGGCCTATCACAGGAGCCCTATAGGGGTTCATTCAATAGAAGCCTTCTGCATCGATTCCTTTACGGGCTCCTTTCAGGGTTCTTGAAGGCTTTTTCCCATACGGGTTCTTTCAAGGTTTCCTTCAAGGTTGCTATAAAGGTCCAAGACGGGTTCATGAGGGTGCACTCGAATGTAGGAACCTGATTAAGAAACGCTGGCCCTATAACCCCACAGTAACCGGGCTCATATAAAGAACCCTAGTAACGACCTGGGTTTCTGAATCAGGTTCCTACATTAGGGCTTTATGGGATTCTACATGGGCTCCTACGCGATGAGTACAAGAGTCCATAGAAGGCTCCTAAGAGAGAGTTCTACAAGGTTTCTATGTGGGGAGTTGTCAAAACTATGACTAGACCCAAGAGTAGCCTAGGAATAAAAAGGGTGCCCTTCTTGGTTTAAAGGGGCTTCTAAGGGAACCTGAACCCCCAAAAAAGGGAATAAGGGCCTACTCTAGGTCCCAGATGATCCTTTTTTGGGTCCCTAATATAGTACGGCACCTCATATTTACGGTACCCAACAAGGGACCATAATTTTGACAACCACCCATGTGGGAAATTCCGAAAATCTGGGACCCGAATATAGTACCCTAAATAGCAGGATCACTACGTACTGTAAGGACCCCCAACTAAGGTACCCCTAGTTTTCGGAAATACCAATATGAGAGTTCTATGTGCGACGAATTTGGGGTATTGGGGTAGGGTCGCTTGGAAGCATAGGGATTTGAGCTTGGGGTTGAAGATTCGAACATCCTTGTCTACGGATGGAGGGACTCAACTCATCAAACCCAAGGTTCTGGTAAAATGTGTACCTATGATAGCGCCGGAGGCCCTCTCTTTTTGTCAGTTTCGACATCTGGGTCTTTTATTCCAGCTTCAGAGTTTTGGGTTTAGGGTTAGAGTAAACCCTAAACCCGCCTTCAACGCAAAATCCCAAGGCTCCGAAACGTGAGCGCGGACTGAAACTCAGGTGTGGGGACTAAGCGTTTAGAGTTTCGGGTTTCTCGCTTCTAGAATTTCAGATGCTTTCGTGGGGCTTCGTGGTTTCATTGCTGAAAGTATCCAGAATAAGGTTTCGGGCTGCAGTTTTGGACCTAAGGTGCTTACAATAGGGTTGGGGTTTTGGGATTTAATACCCTAAAGCTCCAAGAGTACGAACAGTACGTACTTTGGGGTCTAAAGTCTAAAGTCTATACATACGGTTGATGATACAAATCCTGCATGACCCATAATAAGGAATGTACCATAATTCCCATAGTTTAGGGTCCTTGCGGTAATGCAGGATTTAGATCATCAGCCGCGGGGATACTAAACGCCTAGGAGACTGCACGAGTTGCGTGTTGGAATCTCAGTGAGGCACCCATGGAATCGTCAATCTCCGGATACTGCCAGATCTGGAAGAGCGGCAGGACGACCACCACCTGGGTGGTTGTCAAAATTATGGTCCTTTTGGGTACCCCAAATATTAGGTGCCGTATCATATTAGGGACCCAAAAAGGGAGCATAATTTTGACAACCACCACCTGTATATCATGGCACTCAACGTCTAAGGAGGTTGACAGAAGGCTTGGAATACTGGATTCCTGCGATAGTATAGTATAGTGTACCCCAAGCCCTGTTGAAGTTGTAATTCTCTTTATGAAGGCCGCTGCCCCTAAAACCCTAAACACGAAACCCTAATTGTAAGCCCTAAACTCTCAGCCCAAGACTCGAAAGCGGAAACTGCCAAGTTGCCACGACACAAGGGCGTTTCCGAAAATTAAGGGTGCCATGCTTTGGGGCCCTTATTATAATAAAGATCCTACGATTTAGGGTGCCCTATTTTCGGAAACTCCCACAAGAAACCCTGAACCCCAAGAACCGACACTCGTGCACGCTAAACCATACGCCTTGAATCCCAAGCCATGCGATCGTGCTTCTTTACAGCTTTAAGCCTTCAAGCAGTCTTCGGGGCAGTAGGGCAATTGTCCAACCCTAAACCCGAAGCCCCAACCCTAAGCCCTACACCCTGAAGCCTTATCCGTAAACTCGTGAACCCTGTTTGCTAAACCCGAAGCCCTTCTGAGAGAAGCAGTGGATTTCAGAGCCTAAACATCAACACTGACGCACTGGCAGGCTTTGTGGTTCAGGGTGTCGGTTCGTGGAGGTTTGAGGTTTGAGGTTTGGGGTTTGGGGTCGAGGGTTTAGGGTTACCAGGTTCAGGGCTTCGGGTCTCGGGTAAGGTCTAGGGGCTCGGCGTTGAGGAAAAGATCCTGAAAATCCTCCTGCATCCGAAACCCCAAGTGCTCAGCCCACGTTGTAAACATTGAGGCGTGCGGGGCCTGAGTGCTTAGAAGACCAAAGTAGCCCATAGGGTTTAGGGGCTTAGGGTTTGGGGTTTAGGGCATGGTAGCCCTTACAGAATCCACCCACCCTGCACACTGAGAGAGCGACGCAAATGGTCAAAAAGGCGACTCTGGTAGAAAGAACCTGAGCTAAGGTCGGCCAAAAAAATACCTAGACGTCAGAACAGGGTTCTTATTCAAGGCTATATCTATAGGCTTTTACAGGGTTGCTTATAGGCTCCTGCACTATCACATTAGGTCCCAAAGGCCGTACATGGGCTTAAAGGGGTCAGCTGGATTGTGTTGGCCCCCCAAACTTCAGTGTGGCTTTGGTGCACATGAGGCTGCAACGAAACAGGGACGATGAACCGCAGAGTTTTTTGGCTTGTCAGACCTCTTATTCTTTGCTGATGCAATGCTACAAAGCGGCTTGATTTCTGGCTTTAGGGATATAGGCTTCTCAGGTGGAACAGGGGAGAACAAAAATAGGTTCCATTCCTTCTTGACAAGATCTCCTTGGACTAGACCCAAGAGTAACCTAGGAAGAAAAAGGGTGCCCTTCTTGGGTTTAAAGGGTTATAAGGGAACCTAAACCCTTAAAAAGGGAATAAGGGCCTACTCTGGGTCCTAGTGGAGCTACCTTGAGCCCTAAACCCTAACCTACAGCCCAGATCTGCTGAGGCTTAGGGCTAAAATGTTTCTGTTCGGCATAGTAGCAACAACAATCGTCAATAATCACAAGAAAAACAAAGACGCAGAACTATATAACTATAATCATCATCAGTACGCATAAGAAGAAGAATGCTAATCACAAGAAGAAGAATGCTAATAAGACCTATTCTTGTTTTGGCCGGTTTAAGAAGCCCATGGAGGCGCTTATATAAGGGCCCTGGAGAGGCCGCAGGGTAGCTGTCAAAATGATGGCCCCTTTTCGGTTACCCTAAATAATAGGTGCAGTATTATATAGGGACCCAAGAAGGGACCATAATTTTGACAACCACCCAATTAGACCTAAGAGTAACCTAGGAATAAAAAGCGTGCTCTTTTTGGTTTAAAGGGTGTTATACGGGAACCTAACCTTAAAAAAGGGAATCAGGGCCTACTCTGGGTCCTAGAAGTTGCGAAGGAAGCACAGATTCCTTCACCTCTGCGAACCCCAAAATCGAAAACCTAAATTCCTTAGAAAATCCCCCAAAAGCCTAAACCCACCTCCTTCCCTCGCCACTTCGGCACCTCGCAGATCGTAACTTGGGGCATTATGTCAGGGAGGGCTTCCCCGACATTCTCCGGCGAGGGCTTGAACCCTTCAGATACCCTTCTAGTACGGCCTAAACCCTATGGAACTCGACAAACCCTGCCTCTATAAGTAAGTCCTTAACCAGGTAAGCTTGCTATGATTCAAGGCCTGAGCCCGATTTTGGTGGGCTGCAGAGACCCCAAACCCGGGAAACCCTAAATCCTAAACTATACCCCCCTTAGAACCAGAATAAACAGAATATGTTGAAGAATCTCTTGGGTTTTAGATGAACAAAAGTAGAAGCAGCTGTCTGAGTCATGAAGGAAGTCCTCCACTCTGTACTCGACGGGGTTGCCCATGTTGTCCATTAGTGGCCATTTTCTGCGTGCTGCTTCTTCCCGACAAAGACGAGCCCTTTCCCCCCTTCGCGGGAGGAAGATGGGCTCCCCGAACGGGGATCGGTGGGACGTCATGGTTTGCAGGTACTGAGTTTCTTGTTGGAGGGCTCCAATGAAAAGGCACTTCTGTATTCGGAGGGTGCAGGAAGCCTGGCATGCGGTTACGGCTTCGTACCTGTATAGCATACCTCTCTCATCTTTTCGAACATGCCAAGGTCGATGAGCGCATGCTGGCTGCCGTAGAGAGACGCGCCTAGACTCTAAATGATTGGCTGCAGCTGTCAACTCCTAAGGAGACTATAGTAAACTCAACTCTAAATGCCGGACGCAACGGCTCTTGATTCGGGCCCTGGCTGTGTTGAGCTGGTTCGAAATCACTCGTGCAATCCTGGGCGTAGGTCTCACAGGGCTCTAGGCGTTTGCACTGTTCAGGGCTTGAGCAACGCAGGAGCACAGCTTCTACTATTCCGGGCGTAAGAACTCCGTGCCTGCTCGATGCGCTATCGTACACTCCGCAACGACAGCCCAAATGCAAGACGTGAAGCCCTCAACCTTGAAACACCTTCGGATATCAAATGGACCTAAAAGACCTAAAAAAGCAGAGCATTTAAGTTTTTATGCCCTGGAGAAGGAGGTGCCCCAAGCCCCCAACCCCAAACCCTGCAGCCGAAACTCTCGAACCCTAAACAAAAACTTATACGAGCACCTTAAATTGCTTCAAGTAACTCAAGTATGTGAACCTTAATCATGATGTCACCAGGTCCACAGAATATTCTAAGTAGTTGGGAAGCAGGATGGTATGTACTTCATCCAACTGCTACACTAGCTTCCGTATAACATCAACTTGCACCGAGAAGACTTTAAGATAGGGTAGGGGTAACGGGTATTTTATATTATGCAGGTTCATTAGAACCCACAGGTATAGTATTCATTATTACGTATCCCGGCCCCTGCACTCGGGCTTCGGGAACAGAATGATGGGTAAACCCTAAACCCTAAACCCTAAACCCTAAACCCTAAACCGCAGCTCTGAACGTTTGGAACCCTCAGTTGTAGTTTTGGGCTTAGGGCCACAACCTCAGGTTTGCCAGGGGGTCCAAATGTCTAACCTTGGTATACGCACATATTACGAAGACCCGACAATAAAGCGGAGAGGTCTGAACTATTCTGAAGAGTAATCTCCCCTCATAGCCTCTAGAATCAAAACCTATAAGATCCCCCACGCATGCCGCAGTTTGATTGTTCAGGCACCGATATCCAAACCCGTCTAAACGCACTAAACCCGAAACCCTAAATAACCCTAAACCCGATAAAATAACCCTAAATGAGCGGTTGTCAAAACTTCTGGTTCATGGCTAAACCATGGATGATTTGTGGGGGTCAAAGCGCTTTACAAGGATTACTGCACTTGACTGCCCTTCACTGCCCTCTGCTGCCCTTTACTGCGTGGGGCAGTGGCTCATAAAACGTTCTGGTAGGTATCGATTAGGGTATCGATTGCCTAGCCATACATCACACGGAAAATTTAAGCACAAATGTTGCCGCTGCACGGAAATGTCACGACCGATGATCTTCGTTGATCGTATCGCTTTTGGGGGAGTCCTTTTGCTTTCCAAGGAAATTGGCAAGATCCGACATTCCACGGTCACCCTACTCTTAACTACAATTACGGAAGTTTCGACGGATGCTCAAATAACCCCAAACCCTAAACCCTAAATGGCCCAGAAATTTCGATTCTGGCTAAACCCTAAACCCTAAACCCTAAGCCCTAAACCCTAAATAACCCTAAACCCCAAAGCCTAAATAGCCCAGGCAGAGCAGGGGAAAACTGAGATACGAGCCGGACTTTGGAAGCGTCCTGGTCAACGTGAGGCTCACCGTAGGGTTTTGGGTTTGGGCTTTTTTTGGCCTAGGGTTTAGGGCTTAGGGTTTTGGGCTTAAGGTTTTTTTTGGCTTCGGGTTTAGGGCTTAGGGTTTGGGTTTAGGGTTTAGGGTTTTAGGTTTAGGGTCGTAGCGTTGCTCTAAAGGGTGCCTGCAATCGTTCTGCAATCGGGCTTCGGGGTTAAGTTTAGGGTCGTAGCGTTACTCCAAAGGGTGCCTGTACTTCTTCTACAGTAGGGCTTAGGGTTTAGGGTCGTAGCGTTACTCTAAGGGTGCCTTTAAGGGCTCCGCTAGGAAGCTCGAGAATGGTGTCCCTTGTAGGGTTCCCTTGAAGGGTGTCCTTTTTTAGGCTCCCAAGACGGGTGAGCTACGGGCTGACGGTGTTCGTTGCTTCGGGCTTTGAAGGTTTAGGGCTTAGGGTTTAGTGTTTAGGGTTTAGAGTTTAGGGGTTTAGAGTTTAGGGTTTGAGGTTTAGAGTTTAGGGCTTTTCAATTTTGCAGCTTCGGGTTGAAGACTTGGCACGAAGGCCTTCAGGCTGGCCTTCAGGCCTGCGGCACTCATGTGGGTGGTTGTCACAAATTATGGTCCCTTTTTGGGTCCTTCTTGTAGTACGGCACCTAATATTTAGGGTACCCCAAAAGGGACCCTAATGTTCAAAACCACCCATGTGTGTCAATTCAAACGTCAGGGTTTAGCGCATTGTTTGGGCTTCGGGTTTTGGGTCCTCCGATAGATCCTTGTTCCACACTGCCGGGCTACCACACTTCACGTGGGTTTACAGGTCTTCAGCGGGCTGGTGGAATCGGCGTGATACTAAAGTCGGGGCCTCAACAGATTAGAATAGGGTTTTGGCGCCCATTATACTACAGTTATGATAAGGAACCCCCAAGATAGTATATGTACTTATTAAGGCCCCTATATTAGTCGATTTACCATCATAAAAGCGGCTGCATGATCAGCATTAGGCTCAATTGAACCTTGAACCCTTAGCCGCAATACACCCGAAGTCGTACAACAAGGACTCAGAACCCGAACATACAACATCTTGAACCACAACCCTACTTAAAAACAAACTCTCGAAACTTGAAACCCGGCACCAGAACCGGGGACCCCGAAACCCTTGGCGCTTTGGTCGCGCCTCCTTGGTCGACATGCCAGGCAACATCTTCAGCAGCTTCACTGCCTGACGAGGAAGTCGGGAGCTTGGGGGTGCAATATCAATATCCGGCCCTAATAACTACACAGTCGTCCGGGAGGTGTATAATTACCGTAGAATACAACTACAGCATAACTCTACAGGGACCATGCGGACCATGCAGGATGCAATTAGTACGTTTCGAACGGGGGCGTTTCCTGAGCTGGACCATCTGCAGCTGCCGCCGCCGCCGGAGCTTCCGCCGCCGCCTTGAGATCGGTAATCTTTTTTCAGCTCAAAAAACTGACCTCGTAGCTGAAGTCCGTCCATTCCTTGTCATCCTCGTCCAAGACCTGCCAGCCGTAGACCGGGATGTCTGAGGAGTCGGCTGAGCCCTCGTGCCATAGTAACACACAGTTATTCTGGCTCTGGTCCTGGACTTGAAACCACCCGTCTCTGCTTTGCCCCAACCAGGACGCCTGGTTTGCCCACCGCCTGGGCAAAGAATTAAAACAATCGGAAAGAAAAAGCTAGAAACCTTTATTTCACAATGGTTCTTCTATGGAACTCCAAACAAAAAGTATTGAAGCAGAAGCCAGAAAGTTGGAACATCAATATCCTCATGCTTTTAAGGTAAGGTATATATAGGGGATCCCAGCACTAATCATCCTAAATCCATGCTCCAACTTTCTGGAATTCACTGCATACTCATATGACCACAGGTTTGTCGGGGCTAGCCAGGGCAGGGCCTGGGGTAAAGGGGGAAACTACCGGAAGAAACAGATCATGTGTGGGAACCCTTCAAGGAACCCCTCAGGGTTCCTCTAGTCTAAGGGTTCCCTTACGCATCACTGGTCCAAGGTTGAGCCCCCAACCAACCCCCAACCCCCAACCCCCAAACCCCCCCACACCTCCAGCAAAAAAGCCCTCCGAACTAATTATCCATGGGGACTGTCGCTGATCGACGAACCTCTGAAGACCGACTCAAAGCCATTGGGTTTAGGGTTTAGGACCCATGAGTAATGACTTCGTCGTAAGAAGAATACTGATGATAGTAATGGTAATGATAGTCTTGAAACCCCAAACCCTCGAAACCTTAAACCCCAAACCCTGAGCCCCTAAACCCCTAACCCCTAAACCCCTAAACATCAAAACCCTAAGCCCCTAAGCCCTACTCCCTAAACCCCTAAACCCCTAAACCCTAAACCCCTAAACCCTAAGCCCTAAACCCCTAAACCCTAATTAAGCCCTAAACCCCTAAACCCTAAACCCCTAAACCCTAAGCCCTAAACCCCTAAACCCTAATTAAGCCCTAAACCCCTAAACCCCTAAGCCCCTAAACCCCTAAACCCCTAAGCCCCTAAACCCCTAAACCCTGAAAAACGCCACCACCGGGGCGCCGGCTCGACTGAGCCTTCCCGCGCGCGCCCCGAGCTTCGCGGCGCGCGCGGCGCGGACGACGATGACCTGGAGTTTCGGACTTGTGTCATAGGGATCCTTAGGGGTTTAGGGGTTTAGGGGTTTAGGGGTTTAGGGGTTTAGGGTTTAGGGTTTAGGGTTTAGGGTTTAGGGGTTTAGGGGTTAGGGTTTAGGGGTTTAGGGTTTTAGGTGATTAGACTGTGGATGATATCCTTTAAAGGGATCTATAAGGGTACCTTTAAGGGGCTCCTTTAAGAGATCTATAGGGGGGTTTAGGGTTTAGGGTTGATGATATAAATCCTGCATTACCTTCAGGACGCTGATCTATGGGAATTCTGATATATTCCTTATCATCGGTAAACTGTGGGGTTTAGAGCTTCGAGCTTCTGGGTTAAGGGTTCATGGTTTAGGGTTTAGGGTTTTTGGGGTTTAGGGTTTTTGGGGTTTAGGGTTTTTGGGGTCTAGGGTTTCTGGGGTTAGGGCTTTTGGGGTTTAGGGTTTCTGGGGTTTAGGGTTTTTGGGGTTTAGGGTTTCTGGGACTTAGGGTTTTTGGGGTGTAGGGTTAGGCTTCGAGCTTGTGTGTTCTAGTTTTTTGAATCGCCTCTTTTCCAGCTGTGGGGTTTAGGGCTTCGAGCTTGTGGGGTTTAGGGTTTAGGGTTTAGGGTTTAGGGTTCAGGGTTTAGGGTTTAGGGTTCAGGGTTTTTTCCCTGAGCCCTAAACCCTAAACCCTGAACCCTAAACCATTTAGGGCTCATGGTTTAGGGCCTACCGGGTTTAGCATCAAGGGTTGCCGAAAAGGGGCCTGGCAAGGTTCCTGCTGAAGCGTTTGGGGTTCTGTGGGGGGCGGCATTCGCAACTACCAGAAACCACGGTTTAGGGTTTAGGGTTTAGGGTTTAGGGTGAAGCTGTGGACTGTGAACCCCAAACCCTCTCTCAGCCCCCTGACCCAAACCTAGCTCTACGACATGCCGCAATCCTGTCCTGTCCTGCTTAAGCCAGACCTGCACTGCGACCCTTGTTCACACCCGAAACTCTAGCGCCCTAAACCCTGAAATGAGCATTCAAATTTGGAGAATCGCATTCCGAAGCTCTTCCGGAAACCTAAAACCGGAGCAACTTTGCCCTCCAAAGCCCGGGCCTAAGCCCAATGCCTTAGAAGGGGCCCCCACCCTGTAATAGTGACTATAAGGATTGTATTAGGGCCCTATTATATTCCCATTATACCACTATTACAGGGTCGGCTCCCGTTCTAACCAACGCCTAAGCTGGAAAGCCTCGGGAAACCTCTGAAAGCCGAGAGGCGTTGTCTTGGTTCGCACCTTCGGTGACCTGAGGGAGGCATCGGTTAGGGTGCACCTTAAACCACCGAACCCTACTTTTTTGTAGGTTCTTATTATAAACCCTAATATGGAAAATATAGGGACCCTACAAAAAAATAGGTTTTGGGAGGTTAAGGTAGGGCTTGGGACGGGGTATCCATCTGGCCCCTTTGCGAAGGTAATTATATAGGGACTATACTACCCAAAACAAGTTATATAAAGGTTACCTACTCACGACTAGGAAAAGCCACACTCAGGGTTTAGAACTTTTGGTTTAGGGCCTTCGCTGACCCAGGGTCATGGAGGGGGTTGTCTCAGACAGTTTGTTGTTCCGGGCTTTAAAGGGTTTCTATCCGGATTTATGGAGCTGTAGGGCCCTGATATTTTGGGGTTTAGGGCCCCATGGTTTACTGCAAAACTGTCGTGCCGAGGAATTAATTCGGGGGTTCGAAAGCCAATGCTGCGTGCGAGAAGGAACTAAATTCCATGCCGTACAGACCCTATAAATCCACAAGCCCTTTGGCGCTTGAACCGCAAAATCCTATATGCTGCGGGCAAAAGCCCTCAACCCCAAAAACCATGAAGCCTAAGCATCAAACCCTGAAGCGCCAAAACCCTTCTAGAACCCTTGCAGGGCCGCCCGTAGAGAACCCGTACAAGCCTCCGATGAAACCCTATAAAAACCTACGCCCCAAATCTCCAAACTCTAAACCCCCAAACCCTAAACCCCGAGACCCCTGAGCCCTAAACCCTGAACCCTATAGGGTATCATGGGGAACTAAAGGTTAACCTTTTGGGTTGTATAGGGATTATATAGGGACTGTACTACCCAAAAAAATGTTAAAGGTTACCTACTCTACTACGAGGCCCTATAAAACCCTAAACCCCAAACCTCTAAACTCTAAACCCACAAACCCTAAAACCCCTGAGCCCTAAACCCTGAGGCCCTATAAAACCCCTACCAACACCCCAACACCCAGACCCCCGGGAGGATCTAGAAAGTAGATCCCCTAATTTGGGGCCCTATACTACTAAGGGTACTTTATAGGAACCCCCATTAAGGGATCTACTTTTTGGATCCTCCCGAAAATCTGGGCATCCAGGGCCTCCTCGATCTCCATCGCGTCCGGGCCCAGCATGTAGGAAACTGGCAGCCGGAGCCGGGAGCTCTGGTATTTTTTCGGGGGATTCCTACGTTTAAAAAGGGGGGTCTATTAAGGGTTCCTATCAGGGTCTATATAAGCTGTCCTTGAAAGGTTTTTTTTGGAGGCTCTGGGACTTTAAAGGGAACTCCAGAAAGTTGGAATATGGTTTCAGGGTAGGATACCTTATACTTTACCATAAATGGTTTAGGATAATCATATTCCAGCCTTCTGGCTTTTACTTTATGGAGGATTCCTACGGTTTAAAAAATGGGGGGGTTCCTACCAGGGTCTATATGAGCTGTCCTTTGAAAGGTTTTTTTAAAATTTTGGAGGGGGACCGAAACTGAGATTAGGTTTAGCAACCATCGTCTTCTTTTTCATGCCCATCCACATCCTCATCATCATGCTTGATACTCGCCTAAGTTCTGCATCTACCTCGTCATCATCATTATCATCATCAGCATCGCCATTACCGTTAATGCTGCCATCATGATTCCTATCCATGCCAATCATCAACTAAGCCTGCTCTACCGATCTTTATCACTATAACCCACTCTCCTGGTGCTGCCGCAATCTTGCCAGTCCGACTGTCGAGCAGCATGGACGCGGTTCCCAACAGATCCATCCAGAAGAAGAAGCCGCAAAGGTAGGTGGAGTCGCTTAACTGGGCCATGGCAGTGGGTTTTTCGCTAGATTCGAGGCAGGCTTCGGTGGGGGCTCTTCGGCAGGCGAGGCTCTCTAAGTGGGTTTGCTGGATTCGAGGCAGCTTTGAATGGGCTCTGGGCTCTTCGGCAAGCAAGACTCAGCAAGACTCTCTAAGCGAACAGCTGGGTGGCTGTCAAAATTATGGTCCCTTTTTGGGTACCTATTACAATACGGCACCTAATATTTATGGTACCCAAAAAGGGACACTAATCTTGACAACCACTCAGCTGAGGATGGCGGAGTGTCCGGTGCAGATGGGATCTTCTGAGCTTCCGACACCAAAGCTTCCAATGCGGAGTCGTAGATTGTACTATAAATATGAGAAGGAACCCCCAAAATAGTATTGGTAACTATTTAGGTCCCCACATTAGACAAAGCTTGGATCTCAAGCTTCACGACTTTACATTCAGGCGCGGGCGAATGCGGTAGCTTTGACTTGCTTGTTCTGTTCGGTTCGTACAGAAACCCAGAAGCTAAGGGCACATGGTTTCTGAGTAAGGACAATCATGGATTCACTCCCCTTCCTCGTTGCCAAGGCCCCAGCAGTAAGTCCAACCCACTCGAAAACGAAAAGGGCGAAGACTATCGTGAGCACCTCGGCAGAAGGGTTTGGGGCTTCTCTTCTGCTTCCCAGGATCTGTGTTCCTTCCAAGCGATTCAGAAGTTTCCATTAGTAAGGGTATTGCAGGGCTTTAGGGACTAAAGCCTCCATGGCGGGGGTGCAGTACAGACTGATAGGAAGAGCTTTCAGGTAGCTGGAACCGCTATGGTCTTCTTTCGGTGAAAACCGAAACATCAGTCTGAAGGACAGCAAGAATTAGCAGGTGGGTGGTTGTCAAAACTAGGGTCCCTTTTTGGGTACCTTAAATATCAGGTGCCGTATTATAATAGGGAACCTGAAAGGGATCATAATTTTGACAACCACCCAAGTACAGCTTATAGCTATGGGGTTTAGGTTTCATCGCTGTAATGGTTAGGATACACGTTGGGGCTTAGGCTTCTCGGCAAACATGCGTTTCATGAGTCGCTGCTTCTAGACAGGCAGACGAATAGATTGGATGGGATCTAGTTGGGATCGGCAGATACAGATGGGTGGTTGTCAAAATTAGGATCCCTTTTTGGGTCTCTATTATAGTACGGCACCCATTATTTAAGGTACCCAAGAAGGGGCCCTAATTTTGACAACCACCCAGATAGAATGAAGTCGAACCCGCTGCAACCCGAAACCGCAAATTTCGAACACCTTCACTCTTCGCCCAACTACACTGAAACCCAACGCCATTGAGTTTCGAAGCTCTCCTTAACCCCTGGGAGAAATAGCTGCAAAAAAGCCCCACACAAAGCAATTCGGAAGAGCCGAATTTCCCCATCACTTTGAGCTTCCTGCCACATCCAACTCGGTGTTCGAAGGGACCTCTGCTGAGGGCTCAGGGGCTTTGACAGGGGTTTTTAGGGTTTGGAGTTTGGAGCTTAGGGCTCAGGGCTTGGAGTCCTAGGCTTTGGGGCTTAAGTTAAGGGTTTGGGGGCGCTTAGGGGTCAGAGTCACCTTTGTTCGGCTTCATGCAGTAATGTAGATGTTCAGTACAGGTTCTGCCACGTCTGCTGCTTTGGGAAAGAAGGCAGTAACAAAAAAAAACTGCTATTTTTTTTGGGGGGGGGTCCTGAATGTACTTATAGTATTATGACCCACGGGTAGTTGTCGAAATTAGGGTCCGTTTTTGGGTAACCTAAGTATGAAATGCCGTATCATAATTAGGGACCCACAAAGGGACACCACCCACATGGAGGTTTCTTTGGGCCCTTGCCCTACAGTGATCCCACTTCTATGGAAACTCTCATACTTCTTGCTGGGTTTTACGGCTTCTAACCTGGTGTACACATGTATGGGATTGAAGAACAACGCCTTTTGACCTGCTGCACGGTCCAAAGTTTGCCGCTTTGTGTAATGAAACGCCGAAAAACTGGTATTCACACACATCATCGTAATTTCATAGGGACGTTAGCGGCTAGCTTTGTTTGGAGTAGAGTCTTGGGGTATGTGAATGCACAGCTGCATAGGGACTATCGGGAAACGATACCACTTCATGTTAGCCTCTTCCTTTAAACTTTCTCCCAAACGCCCCACACCTGAAGACAAGCACGCCTAAACACCCCCCAAGGTGCTCAGAAAGGTTCTTTAAGAATTCTGAATTCCAGAGGTTCAGGGCCCATGTTGCGGCCTAATCACCTGCACCCTACATCCCTAAACCCTAAATCCCTAAACCCTCAAAACCCTTCTCTTAGTTGCTGAGTTCACAAGCCCGCCCCCCCAAAAGTGTACACTTTCAGCTTTACGGTGAATAACTTTATCCCAAAAGTGTATACAGTGCACCCACTGAGCTACTAAGTTCTTCAAGCCCTCTTCATCCCGCAGGCCGCCGTGAAACCCCTAAACCCTAAATCCCTAAGCCCCAAACCCCTATGCTATGCCCCTAAACCCTCAAAACCCTTCCTGTTCATCCCGAGGGCCGGGGTCTGATAAAGACTTTTGGTGTAGGGAATGGAAGAATGGTAGTAGCACACACAGCTTGCACGCTCGGGCTCAGCAGAGGCGGAACCGCGAGCGAGTGTCCGAGGTCGAGGTCTAGCCAACTCTTACAAGTTCTCGGAATGGGAGGGTGGTAGAAATGGTACTTGTGGTTGTACCCCATCTACTATTTGCTTAAGAACCCCCACAAAATAAAAAAATATATTCCTTATGGTGGTAATATAGGGATTATTATTTTTATTTTTTGGGGGTTTCTTAAGCAAATAGTAGCCATTCCTCCATTCCCTACTAACCAAAGGTAAGAAGATCCGGCCTGGCAAACCACGAAGATCTCGCCCAGGAATAAGGCTAAAAACCTCGTCTGCAGGACCGGACGCTTGAGTTGCACTCTTTAGGGTTCAGGTTTTGGAGAAATTAATAGGGGAAATAACAAGAATCGAAATTATAAGGTAATCCAGTTGCACCGTTTGGGGTTTAATTGAGGCTTCTGTGTTTGGAGTGGTAGATCCGACTAATAATATACTTACGGGTTCCCGAATCAGGTACCTAAACGACCTAAGCCTACATTCCCAAACTGCGCTTTCGTACGAAGTCCCCCGATCCCTTGGCTTCGGCGTTCTTGTGGCCCCAATTGAGCGTTTAGTCAAGGTCAACCACATTAAGCCCTTTTCGGTGGGCCCTGGAAGATTTCCCACAGGCCTGCCTAGTCTACACTTAACCCTAAGAAGATTTGTGAAAGGATTTCAGGAAGGAGGGTGTGAGCCCAGAGACTCCAATATCCCTTAATTAATGAATATTCCTTAAATCATAGTAGGGATCCTACAATAATTTAAGGTATATGCCTTAATTAAGGAATATTGGAGTCTCTGGGAGGTCCAGGGCAGCGGAGGCGAGATAGGGCCATCAGGGCTGAGGCGTGCCCCTCCTTCCCTGACTGAGCTCGAGGCAGCGCAATCATCGTCACAATGCTAAAGGGCCTGCCAGAGTAATATAGGGGCCTCAATAACTAGAATAGGGATTTAGGGGCCCATTATACCATACGCCCAAAATCGTGTTGGTAATTATTGAAGCCCGTATAGCATAGGAGATAGGGTTAAGGCTTGTGAGGTACGGCTAGTTCTCGAAATTTTACTAATCCGCGCCGTGTCAACCGGCACAGCAACCCTTACTGTATATACTCCATCATCCCTGAAACCCTTAGTTGCTGAGTTCATAGGCCCCCAAAAGTGTACACTTTAGGATTTATAGTGGGTAATATTACCCCAAAAAGTGTAAAGTGCATGCACTCAGCTTCTAAGAACCCCAGACCCTCACCTGCATCCTGAAGTGTCCGACACCCAGCCCAAACGCCGATCTCTCTAGATCTTGTTACCTTAACTTTGCTGATTATGGTAAGGCCTCAAAAGGCTACAGGTTACCTATTCCCTTGACCCCCTCAGTAATTACCCGTTAAACCCGTTAAAATATCCAAATACCCACCATTAAGGGCCATAAGGACTCAGGCCTACTCGGCTACGATGCTACGCTGAAGACATGGACATGGTGTTCAAGGCCCAGAGCTTTCCAGCGAAGGTGCCCTACCAACACGGGTAGATGTGGTCATGCCGAAGGCTTCTAGGATGCAGTCTTTGGTTTAGCCCTTACGGTTTGACGAAATTTACGTACGACACCCATACAAAGTACGAACGTTGATGGCAAGCTTTCGGCCCGAAATCCGAACAAACCCGCGCTGGAGCATATGTTTAGCTACGGCTTAGGGGTTTAGGGCTTACAGGGCTTCGAACTATACTTTCAGACTGTTTAGGGATTGCAGGTGTAGGGTTTAGGCTATTAGCACTGCCTGTGTACACGTCTACAGGGTCCAGTGAGGTTAGAGTCAATGATTCTTGGACGAACCCATACCCCACACTAAAGTTGAGCTTTGCTGGTGAGGATTTAGGGTTTCAGTTGGGGGTGTTCTCTACCATCATTTGTAGGCCTCTACTATGACAGAAACCCTGGCGACTCCGTGCCGGCAACGGGGCTTACAACAGAAACTGTAACGGAACGTAGTGGAGCTGTAACGGATTTGTCGCGGAGCTGTAACGGACCTGTAAAGGAGCTGTAACGGTGCTGTGACGGAAGCTGTAACGGAGCTGCAGAAGCTGCAACGGAGCTGTAACGGACCTGCTACGGAGCTGCAACGGAGCTGTAACGGAGCTGTAACGGAAGCTGCAACGGAGCTGTAACGGAAGCTGTAACGGACCTGCAACGGAGCTGTAACGGACCTGCAACGGAGCTGTAACGGAAGTTGTAACGGAGCTGTATCGGAGCTGTAGCAGAAGCTGTAGCGGGGCTGTAGCGGACCTGCTACGGGGCTGTAACGGACCTGCAACGGAGCTGTAGCAGAATGCTGTAACGGAGCTGTAACGGACCTGCAACGGAGCTGTAACGGACCTGCAACGGAGCTGTAACGGACCTGCAACGGAGTTGTAACGGAAGCTGTAACGGAGCTGTAACGGAGCTGTAGCAGAATGCTGTAACGGAGCTGTAACGGACCTGCAACGGAGCTGTAACGGACCTGCAACGGAGCTGCAGCGGAGCTGCAACGGAAGCTATGACGGAGCTGTAGAAGAAGCTGTCGCGGGGCTGTAACGGACCTGCAACGGAAGCTGTAACGGAGCTGCAACGGAGCTGTAGCAGAAGCTGTAGTGGAGCTGTAACGGACCTGCAACGGAGCTGTAACGGACCTGCAACGGAGCTGTAACGGAAGCTGTAACGGAGCGGTAACTGAGGGCCCAGGGTGGGTAGCACAAATCCCATAGTAAATGATGGTAGAGACCACCCCCAAGGTTTCAGTATTACCCTAAACCTTGAACCTGAACCCTACCAGGGAATCTGTGTGACTCTTAACCTTCATCTCGAAAAGCTGGACGACCCTTAGCGAGCCTTGTGGACATATGCTGTGTCTGCACACCAAGAAAACGGAACAGTCGACCGTAGATGTCCTATGGCCCTATGGTTTCGGGTCTGGGGCTTGGGGTTGATGTCCTATGGTTGAACCCCAACCCCAAACCCCAAAGCCCCCTTGCCTCCCTCGGATGAATTTGCGAACAGAGGCTGCCTGGGCTTTTGGAGCACTCCGGGTTTGGCGTTGAGGGTCTTGCCTAGACTGGCATAGGGCCGACAGTTCTAGCCCTCTCTCTCTTGAGAGAGGGGCTGTTTGGCATACTGTTGAGGCCGGGACAGCAAGGCTCTACAGGGCTCAGGGCTCCAGAACTCATGTGCCTGGCATTCTGATAAAGCCGTAGCCTTTTTTGTGAATCCCAACCAAACCCTAATGCGCTTACCCTGCCATGTGATGCAATCTTCGAGCACAAACACTTCGAAGCTGTGGCCCCTGAGAGTTTTAGGGATCTGAATCATTGAAGCAGGGGTGCCGGGGTCCACTACAGCATATAACACGTGCTCTAAAAGATACAATCCACGAGCACCTCTGAAAACACCGAATCTGAGGGCAGCGGCCGTGGACGACTCGTAGCATCCAGCTTTGGTAACTGGGCAGCAGATTTCGTCCACAGACTTCGTTGTAGGCTCCTCAAGCCCTTCGAGACACGGGCTCTGGACACATGTTGTAGGACTGAGGGTTTAGGACAGTTCAGGATTTAGGACAGTACAGTGAAGTAATTTAAGGCTTACAGGTGTGATGGCTTATACGGGGCTTTGGGCCTAGGGCTTGAGATTTCAATGTTCAGACCTGGCTTTTTCAATCGAGAGCAAGTACCCTCAAAAAGGTCCCAAACAAAACCTATATTCCCCACTTCAAGTAAGCAGACAGGACCCCAAAAATCCATTCCAAAAAACACCGCGGCCTGCCATGGGCGATAGGGAGCAGAAAAAGCCGTGCAAGTTCAGCTACGATCCTTGTTTCATCACGTAATCCTGTTTCTATACTCACCCTACAGGATCAGATAGAACCTTTACAGGGACCATAGTCTATCACTTAAACCAGATTTCTATGGTACCAGATCACCCAACACCCTAACCCTAAAACGCCCAAAAACACACTAAAAAATCTGAAACCCTAAAGACCCCTAAACCCTACACCCTAAAACCCCCTACACCCTACTGAACCCTACACACTAAAAGCCCTGTAAACCCCTGCACCCAACGCTTCGAAGATCCCAAGGCCCTCGCCAAAGCTGCTGATCGTCCGCAAGCACCCCCTGGCGGGTTAATTTCGGCTTCGGGATAAAAGCAGTTTTTGGAGGAGAGAGCGGGGGGAACAGGGCTTGGAGTGCTAAGGATTTTAGGGATATAAACAATTCAAGCTTTTGGTTTAAGTATGGTTTGAGTGGTGGGTCGAGAACTTGGGGCTTAGGGTTTGCGGCCTTGGGTTTTAGGGTCCCGATGAGTCAAGTCAGACAACCCTCCGCCCGAAGTTCTAAGCAACCCGTAGGTGGTCGCCTAGTCCTTCTGTGGGTGGTTGTCAAAATTATGGTCCCTCTTTGGGTACCTATTATGGTACGGCACCTCTATTTAGGGTACCCAAAAAGCGACCCTAATTTTGACAACCACCCATATGGTACAACCCTAAACCCCATAGATCCCTTATAGGAACCCTTTGTCCGACCGAAGCCGCAACCCCAAACCCAACACCACAAGCCCCAACCCAAGAACCTCAATGGTTGATGATATATATCCTGCACTACCTTAAGGACCCTAAACTATGGGAATTCTGGTATATCCCTTATGATGGGTAATGTAGGATATATATATATATATATATATATATCATCAACAGCAGGAACAGGTTTTGGGGGGTTGTATTGGAGCAGAACTCGAAAGTATACCGTCGTAGTAGTGGGGACAGAAGTAAGTGGACACTACTGCGCCCACAGCCCCAAACCCTCAGTCCAAAGAGCAAGACGAGCGAGAGGCGAGGATTTGCTGAAGCAGCCGGGAGAGCAGGGGGTGCTTTGGATAGGGTTTCGAGCATGCCGGAGTTTAGGGTGTCAGAGATGATGGATTTCGGGCAGGTGCGCAAAGACTTTCTTGGTGTTTGTTGGTGTTGCTATCGATTTTGGAAGGGGATCACATGGGTATGGGTTGAGGACCCGCAGGAACTAAAAAGTCCAAAGCCCCTTTACCGGGTGAAGACCGTCGTCCCTAGATGCTTCGAGGCAGCCCCAAAGCACCCCCACATAAAGACGCTGAGGAAGGCATACGTCATGCTTGCGATATCTCGATATCCATCAAGTCCCTTAAACCTTAATAGATACCTCTAAACCCAAAAGACTCCAGAAACTTTTGTCAAGCAGCTTCTTCTCTTCTGGGGGTGGCGGCGGCATCGGTCTCGGCAGGTTAGCACATCGGGCTTTTGGCTCTTGGTTTAGGGTCTAAGGTCTAGGGTTTAGGGTTTAAGGTTTAGGGTTTAGGGTTTTAGGGTTGGGAGGTGTCGGTCGAGGGGGGCCAGGTCCGGGCACAACATCAGCATGAGCTCGGCCAGGCGACTGCAGTGAGTCGGTGCGGACGTCATCGGGGAAGTCGAAGGCTTCCTGCCGAGCGCCAATAGCGAAGTGCTGCCGGGTAGGGAGATGGTTTCGCCTCCTTTGATGTGGGCTCGCACACGGGGGCCCTGCTCGGCGAAGACGATGTTCAAGATGAAGGTGCGGCCTTCGGCAGGGAACTCTTCCAACTGACGTCGAGCGATTTCTTTTATGCGTAAGCACCGCTGCAAGGCTTTCGCGGCGCCGCCTCCGAGCGTGCTGTCGTCCAGCCCTACGCCCCTTTTTTTACAAAGCTAAACCCTAAAACCCGAATCTTGAAGCAATAAACCCCAAACCCTACGCCCTAAATTGAAAATCTAAACCCTAAAACCTGGAATCCGAAACCTGAAATGCTGCAAAGCTTGATGTACCCCAATATGGACACCGAATAGTAAGGCCTAACCTCTACACTCGAAACGCCTAATAAGGACCCCTACATAAGGCACCTCTACCGGCTCCTTTAACCCATGGCACTGGATGGGGCGCCCCCTACGGAGGCAGAACGGTCCGGGCCTTAATTTAATAGGATACGACTATGTTCTTAGGAATGAAAAGGCGATAATGTAGGGCCTAAATAATGGGTTCCTATTATAGTCAATAGGCTACTAAAATTTCTAGCTATTAAGGCCCCTACATTCTGCCCTACATTATGATGACCAACCCTGTTCTAGGTGCTGACATACGAGGCAAAGCCGACAAGATAGAATCGGCATTATAAGGGTTTGCGGTTTAGGATCTTAGGGTTTAAGGTTTAGGATGATCAATATCAGGGTGTTTATGTGGGCTTTATAAGTGTGGTTGTCAAAACTATGATCCCTTTTTGGGTACCCTAAATATTAGGTGCCGTAGTATAATAAGGACCCAAAAAGGGGCCCTAATTTTGACAACCACCCCGAAGGGTAGTGTGTGGGGCCTTAGGACTTCGGCGGGCTTTATCGCTGCACACAAGCATTCTTTACAGGTTTAGGGCTTAGGGTTTAGGGGTTTAGGGTTTAGGGGTTTAGGGTTTGGGGTTTGGGGGGTTTAGGGTTTTAGGGTTTGGGCTCCCCCGACTTCGATGGAAGCCCCTGGATTCCCCCTATTTCCCGCAAGGTCAAAGAGCGGCCAGGCGATGGTTTTCACTACCCAGACCCCCAGGAGGATCTAGAAAGTAGATCCCCTTATTTGGGGCCTTAGACTACTAAGGGTACTTTATAGGAACCCCCATCAAGGAACGCTGATCACCCCAAGCTGCTCTTGTAGCTGCTCTGGTGGGCCTGAATCCTGGAAGACTCCAGGAATAAACCCCGAAACCCCTATAACCCTAAACTCCAAATCCCTAAATAAATCAGCAATCAATCCTGAACTCTTAAACCCTTGTGGTACCCTTATAGATCCCTTAAAGGAACCCTTAAAGGAACCCCTGCGGATCCCTTTAAAGGAGCCCTCAATCCTGAACTCCGGAATCCCTGAACCTTATATAGCCCTTTAAAGGAACCCTTATCGTACCCTTCTAGTAACCCTTTACGGGAACCCTTATAGTACCCTTATAGTGAAGCCCGCTAGAGGAACCCTTAAGGATCCCTTGAAAGGATCCCTAAGGATCCCTAAGGTACCCCCTGAACTCCGAAATCTCTGCGAGTCTGAGCTCACCGGCCTTCCGACGGAGATCGCCCTGGGAGTCCGGGATTCACCGGTAATACAGGGGGCCTCAATAATTTAAAGGGGTCTATGACTAGGCTTCCTTTAAAGGGGTCTATGAATAGGCTTCCTTTAAAGGGGTCTATAAGGGCTGCTATAAAGGCTATGGGTTTGAATAATCACCGATACTAACTTAAGCGTTCCTTTAAAGGGATCCTTAAAGGGGTCTATAAGGGTTACTATAAGTTATAAGTGTACTATAATATAGGGGCCTCAATTAATTACCTATACCGTTTTGGGGGTTCCTTATTATGATTATAGTATATTGGGCCCCCAAACCCTATTCTTCCACTCCAAGGTTTCCTTAAAGGGTTTAGGGTTTACAAAGGTTTAGGGTTTTAGGTGCGCAGCTTAGGGTTGATGGTTTAGGGGCTTTAGTAATATTTAAGGTTTAGGGTTCTTATATTCAAGGTTTAAGGCTTTAAGATTCAGGGTTTAGGGTTTGCCCCAAGCCCTAAACCTTTCACCCTTAACCCAAGATTTTTGTTAAAAGACACTAGAGTGCCTCCAAAGGTTTCCTCGCCATCTTTATTGCCGAGTTCACAAGCCCCAAAAAGTGCACACTTTCAGTTTTGTAGTTGGTACTATTATCCCAAGAAGTGCAAAGTGTATCCACTCAGCTACTAATCCATGAGCAGCCAGACGCCTGGTTCCGAGATTCTACGGGTCCGGTAATATAGGGGCCTTAACAATTTCCGACTTTATTTTGTGGGTTCTTATTATAAGTATACTGGATTTGGGCCCCAAAGCCCTATTCTAGTTACTAAGGCCCCTTTATGATCTTGGTCTCCTCGGATTCCCCTTATGACCATCAGATGACCCTCTCTCAGCGCGCGTGAACCCCTAGACTAGACCCTAACCCTGGCCCTACAACCAAAGCCTAAACCCTAAACCCCAAAACCCAACGAAGTTACATACAGGATCTAGAACCTGCTGCCCCCCGGAGTACTTTTGGGCCTGCATAATTAGAATGGGGCTTTGCGGTATAGTACACTGTAAATGCAAGAAGGTACCCTTAAGGAATAATATTGATAGTCATTTGGGCTTCTTTATTGCACGATGTGAACCCAGACATTACGCTGGGATATCTGCCAGCTCGAACTTCCTGTCAAAGGGGAAAAGGAGGGACCCTTAATGGGGACCCCTACCCTATAATGGGCTATATAACGGGTATATAATAGCTATATCAAGGGTATATACCTATAGGGGGTCCTTATTAGGGGTCCCTCCTTTTACCCTTTGATACACCCTAAACCCTAAACCATTTATAGAATCCTTATTATAGATCCCTTTAAGGAGCCCTACATAAGGGTCCCCATTAAGGGTCCCTCCTTTTATCCTTGGACCCTGAATACTGAGCCCACGGCCCTAAAACCCCAAAACCCAATCCAAGCTGCATCCGACGCGTCTTGCCCTTCGCCACGGCGGCGGGCGGTACATCCTTTGAGGGTGAGGGCTTGGGGTCCTAGAGACGCCTGAACCCAGAGACTCCAATACCCCTTAATTAAGGAATATACCTTAAATCATATAAGGGATCCTACCATAATTTAAGGTATGTTCCTTAATTAAGGGATATTGGAGTCTTTGGGAATATTAAGTCATACCACTTCCTTAGAAGTCTTACTAGACACTCCCCCCCTCTCCCCCAAAAACAAAGCAGCCGAAATAACAAGGCTCCTACATTTACTCGGATTTCGAGAAGACTTGCGGCTACGAGGGGCTGTCATCGAAGCATAAAACCCGACCTCAAAGGCAAGAGTACAAGACAACTAACACCTAGAGACCTTAGAGGCTAAACCTAAGCACTCAAGCCTAAGTTATAGGTGGCTTACATGAGTTGAAATCTACGGAGATTACTCATACAGCTTTAAGAAGCTTCCTTAACTATGCGATTTTGGAACCTCAGGGTATGGCACCAAGTCACGCGCTCTCAGCCAACCAGGCTCAGGATTTGGAGTTTAAGGTAGACTCGCCCCCAAGGTTCGTAGCAGAATAACGTGCCCAATGCTCACCCTCAAAGCAAGGCTACATTTATCACATAGCCACATCCCAGAGCTCTTCTACCTTAATGTATTATCCCGAATCCCTGTGCCCTGAACCCTAAGCCCCAAACCCTGTATCCAACACTGCCCTAAACCCTAAACCCAAAACCCTAACTCTAAGCCCTAAACCCTAAACCCTAAACCCTAAGCCCTAAACCCTAAGCCCTAAACCCTAAACCCTAAACCCTAACCCTAAGCCCTAAACCCTAAACCAAAAACCCTAACCCTACATCTAACACTGCAAGGCCTCTAACCTGCAGGCCCTTCACCAACAAAAAAAACCTCCTCGCACTCTTCCAGCAACCTTTGTGAAACTCAAAGGGGAAAAGGAGGGACCCTTAATGGGGACCCCTACCCTATAATGGGCTATATAGTGGGTATATAATGGCTATATTAAGGGTATATACCTAGGGGTCCTTGTTAAGGGTCCCTCCTTTTCCCCTTTGAGAAACCCTCGTAGAGCCGGCAGCGTGCATAACATGGGGCCGTAATGATTAGACTCATTAGACTAGGGTTTCGGTGCACATTATACTGTAAGTACAAAACAACATTGGTAGTTCTTCAAACTTCTACGTGAGAACCCGTACCGTAGCTCTTATGACAACCGTTAAACCCAGACCCAAACCCAGACCCGATCCAAAAAGTGGCTCCCTTAATGCGGGTTCCTATAACGTACCCTCAGTAGTATAGGATACCCAGTAACCTACGAATAAAAAGGCCTCTCTTTTTGCTATTGGGTAACTTTATAAGGAACCTAGGACTACAAAAAGGGAATAAGGGTACTACTGGGCATCCTAGTAGTATAGGGACCCAAATTGGGGGATGTACTTTCTAGATCCTCCCATCCCCAACCTCGGAGTAAGGCGCGATTTTCGCCATGCTGCCCTGCAGAGGAGGGCTCTGCGGGTTTAGGGGTTTAGGGGTTTAGGGGTTTAGGGTTCCAGTTGTTTTAGGGCTTTTGGGTTTAGGGGTTTCAGGTTTAGGGTTCCGGTTTGTTTAGGGCTTTGGTGATGGGTTAGGGTTTGGGGTTTGAGGCTTGGGATGTAGGGCTCTTGGTTGTCTGAAAAGTTCGAGTCCCGCTCGTGCCAGGGTGTCCGAAGGGTGGTATAAGGTGTTTGTCGCGGTTGCATGGCTAGATCTACTTGGAGGTTCATGGGTAGTTATAAATGGGGTGATAAATCCCCGAATAGGGGTTATAACCATAGTTACCCTAATTATAGCCCCCATTATAACTACCCATGAATGGCCCATGAACCTCCAAGTAAGGATGGGGTACGTGATGCCATGCTGCTGCCCAGAGCGGCTCCAAAACCCACGAAATCTAACGTAAGATACCTTTATGGAAATAAGGCCTTTCAGGCACCGAAGATTTCAGAACCCTCTGATTAGGAAGTGGTCATGAATTTCTAGCAAGGACACTTGGCTTCGGAGTGGTTACCCAGAGAGCCCAATACCACTTAATTAAGGAATATACCTTAAATTATAAGGGGATTCATATTTATGATTTAAGCTATATTCCTTCATACCCTTATAGAACCCCTATAGATCCCTTTAAGGAGCCCCTAAAGGAACCCTAGGTATTCCTTAATTAAAGAGTATTGGGCTCTCTGGTTACTCTTTGCAGAGCTCAGAGGCTTTGATCGATCTGGCGCCCGGGAGCAATGTAGGAACCTGAAAAAGACACCTTGGGCCTTTCTTAGGGTTCTAGAAGGGTTCCTAGGGTTTAGGGTTTAGGGTACTATAAGGGGTACTATAAGGGATCTATAATAAGGGTACTACAGTCATGTAGGCACCTGAAAAGAAACCTTGGGCCTTTATGAGGGCTCCTTATATGGGTGGTCGTCAGAGTTAGGGTCCCTTTTGGGGTCCATATATAGTACGGCACCTAATATTTAGGGTACCCAAAAAGAAACCATGGTTTTGACAACCACCCATATGAATCCTGCTACGTATTTTGGGATTATAGGCCCAGGGGTTTCTTCATCAGGTTCCTACATCAATACAGATCACCGCAGCAATCCGGAAGGTTTATGGTTCAGGGTTTGGGGCTGGGTGCCAATCAGACGCACACCCTAAACTCTGAGACACTGAAACCCCAAGCCCGGAAACCACAAACCAAAAAAAAATGAAATCCTTTCGTCCTTTGAACAGTGTGACTCCTTGGAAGGGATCGGGGTTTAGAGGTCCAGGGTTAAGGGTTTCTAAGTTCCTGAGTAGCCCCCTTATGATAGGGGTACCCTTTTTCCTAGGGTCTCGGGCTTAATGAGGGGAACACAAGACAAAAAGGGCAACAGGGTACTACCCAGGAACCTGGCCTAAACCCTAACCCCTAAACCCTAAACCCCCTAAACCCCTAAACCCTAAACCCCCTAAACCCCTAAACCCTAAACCCCCTAAACCCTAAACCCCCTAAACCCTAAACCCCTAAACCCTAAACCCAATCCCAATCCCAAGTGTCGCGCCTCGATTCCCCTAAGGGGAGCGAGATGGGCAAGAGCTTAGCGGCGCCCCCCCTGTTGGGACTTATCAAGCACGGGGGCCGCGCAAGGAAAAAACACCCCAAACCACCCTCCGAGACCACCGAAGTGAGTGAGCCTGAGAAGCCTTCACAAGGCTAGGCAAGCTTTTAACCTCGGGAAGAAGAAATCGAAAGCCCCCTGAGCTCCTAAACCCCTGAAACCCCCAAATCGCCCAAAAAAACACTACACCCTCCTAGTATCCTACAGGCCCCCGCCAGGGCAACTCTGTGCCCCTGGGTCTCTTGGCGTTCTCAGAACCCTACGTCCGAGCCAAAAAGCCGCCAGTCTCGGACTTCGGTTCAGGGCTGAGGGGGTGTCGGGGTTTAGGGCCTCGTTTAGGGTTTAGGGTCTAGTTTAGGGTTTAGGGTTTAGTTTAGGGGTTTAAGGTTTAGGGTTTAGGAGTTTAGGGGCTAAGGGTTTCGGGGACGTGGGGCGGTAGGGTTTAGGGTACGGCTTGGGGTTGCTAAGTGGCGGTGGATGTTGGGGAACCACAGAGGCATGCTCAGGTGTGGGCGAGCGCCCCGAAGGCGAGCGCAGTCTAAGCCGCCACCCTCCGTAGCCGGACTGGTCTGGGGCGGGAGGACCTAGCGCCGGCAGGTGTGGTGTATGTACACCACTGCTGTGTCCGGGAAAGGGGCTGCGAGGAGGGCTCGTGATGCGAGCTTGCCAAGTGCCTCCGGCGCTCGCCACCTCCGCCTCGAAGAGCACAAACAAGCCAGTTGCGGTCCAGAACATGACGGCAGCTCCACGTTTCTTGCGGCAGGAGGTTCAAATATAATAGCTGCAGAATTAGCATCTTAGTCTTCCTAACTCTTAAAGCCTACCTCAATTTTGAAGTCCTGCTAAACATCCAAACCCCAAAATTCTTATCTAACCTTTGGGGTTAAAGACTAGAAAGACTTGATTGTGTTCCCCTGGGCTCTAAATCACTCAGTTCAAGTGGCAGGTGTCTACAGCATGTTCCACGGATTCTGTAGGGTTCTATGAGGGCTTAACATTTTAGGGCTTGGTATATCAGGGATCTTACCATGCGTGCTCTATGCTTTGGATGCCTTGAAGCTTTAGGGTCAGAGTTCCGGCAACATGAATCTGCACCTCACCTACTTCTTAGCAAATCTATGTTGGGGATTAGGCGAATAATTACCCGGGAAAAAGGGATGGGAGGCTAAGCGCCGTTCAGGGTGCAGGGTTCAGGGTTTACGGTTTAGACTTGGGGGAGGGCTTTAGGGCTTCGTTCTCTGGGTGGTGCAGGGTCGATGGTCGAGGGATCGCAGAGTTCAGAGACTGGGTCGTAGGGCTTTGATGCTCGAGTGAACGTCAAAAAGTTGGAACGTCAATAAAGGATGATGAGTACTGGGATTTCCTACGGTGTAAGTTGTGGGTGGGGATGGAGGGTTGAAGCAGATACACTTAGAGTACAGATGTCACGTTGATGGTCGGGGTAAGGACTAACGGTTTGCGTCATTTTTAAGGTTGAGGGCTTCAGTGAGGGTTCGCGAAATCCTCTACCTCCAAAAAGCTGGTGCCACAGAAGTCACGAAGCCGTTTTTCCGCACAGACCCGGCCGCGATCCGCCGCAAGTCCTGGTATCCGGCCTCGCGGTGTGCGGAACGACGACGACGAAGACGACGACGACTACTACGACTACTACGACTACGACGACTACGACCGCGACTACGACGTCGACTGCGACCACCACGACCACCATGACTGTTACCACCGCCACCTCCGCCAGCACCAGCACCTGAATGTACAAAAGGAAAGCTAGTGAAGGACACCAGCACAGAGACGTCGAACAAGTAATATAGGGGCCTTAACAATTACAATAGGGTTTTTGGGCCCATTATCCTATAAATGTAATAAGGAACCCCAAAATAAACTGGCAATTATTTAGGGCCCTTTACCTCAGACAGTTGACAGCAGAACTCGATTGCGCTCTACATCCATGCTGCCCCAGCTGTCCAAAGATTACCTGCATAATAGGGATCTATAGTCAAAACTATGGCTTCCTTATTATGGTAGTTTAGAAATTATTAAACCCTTTAGCAAGAACCCACTTATTCACTCTTCTAGCGCCCCAGAGTCCAGTTCAGTTTAGGGTAAACGGTGGTCGCACTGACTGCTTTTGACATACCTCCACCCAAACACTCACTGGACCAGCTACATAGGCCTGCTAAAGGGGCCACACCCGGGCTGCTACTTATGCGCAGATATGGTGGATGTCTTTTTGTGGGTTTAGAGCGTCAGTGTGCAAGCCACAAGGTGGGTCGTGGGTTGAGACTCAGGCTTTCGACTCTGGCACAAAGAAAACGCCGCGAGGCGCGCAAGCCTAAACCCTGCAAGCTCCACAAATCCTAGGGGTTTAGGGGTTTAGAGGCTTTAGGTTTAGGTTTTAGGGTTTACAAACACTACCAGAACCCAAGTAGCTCTTAAGGTGTTGCAGCGCTTGTTTTTGCGGACCGTACTAGTAACTAGTACACAAAGAAGCCGGTTCCGTAGGATTCGAGTCAGAAAAGCTGAGCTCGCAAGACCAACCTGTAACACACACTACGGTATGTAGCGAAAAGCGGCCTGCCCTAAACTAAACCCTCAAACCTACAACCCTGAACCCGAACACCTGAGCCCTCAAAGGCACGCCTAACCCCCCCCTCACAAAAACAAAACTCTGGGCGCCTTGAGCCGTCGACTCGCATCTCAAAAAGACAAGCAGACGGGGACGGGGAGCAACTGCACCTGGGACTCAGCTGTCGGGGATTTCAAGGCTTCGGGGTCAAGGGTCTAGGGTTTAGGGGATTTCAGGGCAATCACAGGCTAAGGTTTGGGTCTAGGGTTTGGGGGTTCCGGCTTGAGCGTGTATGGTTTAGGGGTTCCACACAGGCTGTTCACTAGGGCTCTCGCAGGGTGATGCCGAGGCTCTTTATCTGGCACCACCAAGATTCCAGAAGCTTCCAGCTGTGGGATCTTTATGACAAGGACTGCTTCATGGTTACGGGAACCCCTATTCAAATATTGGAAAAGGACCGCTTTTATCCAGGCACAGTTTCTGAACCCCCACGTCTCTCGACGAACTCCGAACCGAATACATGCCAAGGCCCTGAACCCCCTAGCCCCAAACACACGAAACCCCCATGTATAAGCTGGAAATTCCCAAACCCTACATCTTTTGCAGAATCCTACACATGCTTAGAACCCTAGAGATGCTTAGAACCCTAGAGATGCTTGTAGAAGCCTCAAAAGAGTCTGTTTAAACCGCTGATAACGCCCCTCACATCTCTTGTAGAACCTCTGTCCAAGCTCTCACACAAGCCCTTCCGGCATATAAGCTCAAACCCTACATGCTCGCTGGAAGCCTTCCAGAAC